GTGTCCCTTTGGTCGGGCACATCTATAAAGCTAACCAGGTGTTACACTGTGCCCCTAGTTAATCACATCTATATAGATAAACAGGTGCTACACTGTGTCCCCTTAGGCGGTCACACCTATATAAATAGCCAGGTGTAACACTGTCCCCCCTAGGCGGTCACATCTATATAGTTTACCAGGTGTTACACTGTGTCCCCTAGGCGGTCACATATATATAGCTAACCAGGTGTAACACTGTGCCCCCTAGATAATCACATCTATATCTATATAGCTAACCAGGTGTCACATTGTGCCCTTTTGGTCAGGCACATATTTATAGCTAACCAGGTGTAACACTGTGCCCCCTAGGCGGTCACATCTATAAAGCTAACCAGGTGTTACACTGTGCCCCCTAGATAATCACATCTATAAAGCTAACCAGGTGTAACACTGTGCCCCCTAGGCGGTCACATCTATATAAATAGCCAGGTGTAACACTGTGCCCCCTAGTTAATCACACCAATATAGTTTACCAGGTGTTACACTGTGCCCCCTTAGTCGGTCATACCTATATAAATAGCCAGGTGTAACACTGTGCCCCCTAGTTAATCACATCTATATAGTTTACCAGGTGTTACACTGTGCCCCCTAGGCGGTCATACCTATATAAATAGCCAGGTGTAACACTGTGCCCCCTAGTTAATCACATCTATATAGTTTACCAGGTGTTACACTGTGTCCCCTTACTCTGTATGTATATTGCGCGTGCATATGTCCTTGTTTTTACACTGTACCCTCTTATAAGTACATGATACGTACATCAGTCCAGGTGTTACACTTTGTGCCCCTGTCCCTAAGTCAGTAAGTGTACAATGCCCCTCCCCACCCCCACCCCCACCATGTACGGTGTTACACCGCTATCCCTAGTCAGTTAGTACATAGTCACACCTTGTCGTCTTCCGTAATGGAATTCCCAATCATACTAAAACGGTTTACGTTACATATAGATCGTGAAACATTTAAACAAGACTTCATGGTCTAAACCTCTGCTTAAGTTTGTTAAATAAAGCGGGCTGAAGTACAGTTCTTTCTTTGAACTGTCACAGAATATGTTACAAAACGTACCCTCAGATTGCCCGTAACAGTGTCATTACGGTAACCGAGGCTACAGGGTGTAGCCTGCCGTTTGATGTGCAGTTTGAGTAGAGGTTCAAGACAATAGATGCGTACTCACAGACGACCTTCACGAGAAACAAAAGCGTATCATCATAAGTGCTCTTTTTACATTTTAATATATTTTTGTCTAAATAAAAGGAATATGATATTTTGGGGGACGAGATATGGTTCGCCTTTTCTTCCTGGCTGAAATGGTTATCACAGTTTGAATACGTCCCTGGTTACACTTGATACGCATGCCCCCCTAGTGTGGGTAGTTATCAACCAACCAATCACGCGTTTTCGTCTATTAGGTAACTGAATTCACTTTATATCTATATAAAGCTGAGGTTAGTCATGGTTTTATTTGACCCCAGTATCTCAACATCGTGATTTAAAGTGAAAAATGTACGGTAAGAGAAAAGGGCAACCATTGGAACATTTAGTTAGAAAACAAAATCTGTCGTAAAAAGAATTAACATGAAATAAAATGGATCTCTATCAACAATTAAGATCTCTCATTAACGTTGAGATATATAATATAATGTGTCAGATTAATAAATTAATTAATCGGTGATCTATACTTCATGACATAATTATAAATTATGTTGAGGTGAATATATGGTTATATAAACCTGAAAGAGTTATATTAACCTGGACAAAGTCGATTAAAAGTTCGTAATTGTTATATTATGTAAAATGTAAACAGACAGTCAGACAAAATTACGCATAGGAGATATCCTATGCGTAATTTTGTCTGACTGTCTGTTTACATTTTACATAAATATATACCACACGTCTGTCTGTCTGTCTGTCTGTTTGACTGTCTGTTTACATTTTACATAAATATCTACCACACGTCTGTCTGTCTGTCTGACTGTCTGTTTACATTTTACATAAATATATACCACACGTCTGTCTGTCTGTTTACATTTTACATAAATATCTAACACACGTCTGTCTGTCTGTCCGTTTGTCCGTCTGAACCACGTGTTTACGTCGACTGTAAAGGAGATGCATGAACACAAGTTATTAGTACTTATGACATTATATTGAATTAAACTAAGAGTGGTAAATTAAACACGGAGAGTACGATAAGTAATACAATCATAATGTATTCTGAATACATCCCACCTCGATGGCTTGAAGGTTGTACCAGGGCCATGCCAGTGATTTAAACCATAAGTCGAATATGATCCACTTTCGTTATAATGTCTTCAGTACTGGTAGCTTCGGCCAAAACGTTTTATTGAACTACGAACTCGTCCTGTATACAATACTAGATATTTAATTTTATCAGCGAATGTTTGCTCAAACACATCATAAAGTGACAGACTTAAATGATAAGTGTCTAAATATATATTAATCACTTTCATATTCTCCCTCAGTTCAAATAAATTTGTTTCTTCATAAAACAACACATAGTTGTGGCCTATCACCCATTACACCCCACTCGTCTGACACCTACCTACTGTCCGTACCCACAACGGCAGGTNAGACGGTTGGTTCTATATAGTATAGATAGCGGGGTACTGAACCAATAAATCTACCACATTTGCAAGTTAAAACAGCGTTTGATATGCATAATACGTACATGTGTATATAATGGAAGTGTACTTTTATTCAAGATAAACTGATATATCATACATATACATGTATATCGGTACACTACGTTCTCAGCAGTGTACAAGAGCACAGGGGCATGGGAAGGTGTTACTGCTATATTTGGACCTAAATGTTTTAGGGGTTTAGATCGACTTAGAATGACATTGGGGTGTCATTTTTTTTTACCGGAAGTTGGTCTAAACCCCTAAAACATGTAAGATTACTCGGAACATCTTAGTTTAGGTCCAAATTAATATAGCTGTAACAATTTCTCAGGTCCCGGTGTACATATTTACATCTTTACTTAATCAATGTTCGGGTGTTTGAGGCACTTTTGATTTACAAACCGTGCTTATCAAATCAATCGTATTACATGAAATTGTAGTACTGCCGTGATACCTTACGTCAATGCAAAATGTATGTTTTCAAATCGCGAAGACCAGCATGAATTATTTATAATGTATACTCTCCTGTGGCGTTAGGCTACGACTTTCTCACGTATATGCTATATTTGGTGTCCGATCTTCAATATCAAGTCCACGTATGAACACCTCCAAATTATCGACTCGGCAAGATATGGCATCAATACAGTGATTAGCATATCTCGAAACGTTTCGATGTCATCCAGTGCTCAAAAAATAATCTGTATTTCGCTGTATTGTATTACAATCCTTCGCAGTATCCCCCACCCCATCCCCCGGCCTAAAGGCATACCGTTTCCAAGAGTGTCTAGTTAAGGAAAGGTGAAGAAGTCTAAAAGACTTGGATCTGTACAATGTTGCTTTTGTGAGATGAAGCATTGTCGTGAATTAGCTAGATGTCGTTCAACCCTTTACTTGCAGGCTTTCTCATGTAGAATCTTTTGACATGCCTCAGTACTTTGTCTCTTTAAAACCTGGCAGTGATAGTTTTCCCTTCCTTGCACGGTATCTGAAACAAAGGCCGTGTGCTCTCTTTGTTGTCAACTTCACCATTCTTTAAGTTGTTCAACTACCTGAAAACAGTTCTCAATGTGACGGTAGAAGTGCCTTTTATGTCGTACAACTCTGCATGGATCTGTTTTGGTGGTATACCTGAAGCACACCGTGCTTTAACACAGGAGCGTATTTACCATTAGACACGAGTGCATACCGGGGGGAACCATTCAACCATAAATAACTTGTTCAATTCTTGTCGGATGACGTAGACATTTTGCAAGTGCATTGTTTTTCAAGTGCTTTTGCAGTCTGCCAAGGCGCTAAACTATTGTATTGCCCTTTCATACAATGAACTTAGTAACTGTATTACCCTGTGTATGTTGTTTTGAATTGTTAACCTCTTGTTACACACACAAGTTTGTCAAGAGTGTAATAAAGAATCTGAATTTGAATCATACGGGAGTTGTGTGGTGACCGAAATTATTGATTAGCCTTACAGGCCATCTTCAAAATCAAAGAGTACCACTCTCTGTGTATGAGAACGAAACAATCGAATTTCAAAGATACCCATAGACAATTTCCTACATAAAATGCGTCGAGTCCTTCAAGTGATGGTCTGTTTCACTTGAAGGACTCGACGCCTTTTATGTAGGAAATCGTCTATGGGTATCTCAGCAACAGTTTGTCCATTGGCATGATAGCCAATGTTGACTTTTGAACCAAACTACCACGGTTCAAGGTTGACCTTTGACCTCAATATGATATCTAGAAAAAAATTGCACTGCTAATCCACGTAACACACACAAACATCGTGCATGTATAATTTAATAGTCCTTTAACGACTTCAAAAAAGTATGACAGGTAAGTTAAAACAGTTTATTAAAGATCATTACCGAATGCAGACGAAAACACTAGATTCCCATGTTTTTTTTTTTTATATATACAGTAATTACCTCCCCTTAACTTCGTTTTGGAAATAACTAGCGCAATTTGACAAAGGCACCACGTTGATAGAGCTAATACATAACAATCTGTAAGGTCCAGGGTTCGAACCCTGGTCTGGCTACGCTTAACTTTTACACTTAGAACAGTCATTGATCATATTTTGTTCATTTTCACAAAAGTCTTGTAGTAAATTATACTTTTTTCAGGAATGACTTATCAAAGCTATAATCATACCAGGAAAAACAGTCTCCGATTCATAGTTAGTTTATATGACAGTGGTACGAGATCCTTTAATGTGAATATTTTATATCATATAACTTTTATTTTAGAGACTGAAATGTTCAGCCTTGTACCATGCAATCTTACACACTTCAAAAACAAATAACTTAACACACCGTATAGCTGCATATTTTTATTTCAATAATTCGTTCATACATTTATAGTTACATATTTTAAATATTTGTGACGAAGGAAGTTAATCAAATATGTACATTCTTGTTATTTTGAATTTCATTGCGTAATAAAACTATTTAAAATCTGATAAAAAGAATCAGTTAAAAGGGACATGAAGTGCTGCTATCAAGGAAGGGAGTCACTGTCTGTCAACGAAGAAAAGTGTAAAAGTCTGAAATTAAATTTCTTCAGTCATAAAACTAAAGAAATATCTATATTAGAAATATGCTGACCCTTCAAAACAATTCCTTTGCACATTAACAAGTAGAAATTCACATTTTTGAATGAAATCAACGTCACAATTACTGACATTGGGCTCAAAGTACAGTAGGTCATTTGAGTGGATCAGAAAAAACAACTCCATTGCTAGTTACAAGTGGAGAAAACCCCCACCACACAATTCAGTGTTATGAAGTATTTTAAGTATCTATATTTCCCATACCAGTTCTATCAAAAAGGTTTTCCACTTGATCAGTAAAAACCTAACTTTGATAATGCAATGTACCTGGATTTTGGCTTGTACTTATGAATCATTTGAATGGCCCTGTTTGAGCAAACTAGAATTGCCACGTGGAAGCTTAAAGTAAGATGGTAAACTGTTACAATCTATACCGATAATACGTGAAGGTTTGAAGGAAACGCCAATCTACAAACTAGAATCACAAAATGAAGACTTCCAGTGAAGACTAGCATTGTTTTTAGTACACTTTATGTGGTGTAAGTCTGCTATACAATAACAATCTCACAAGCCGATACAGTGACTGTGCCTTATTGACACACTGTAGAAATGACCTGCTGTTGTTAATTTTAATATATTTCCCAAGTCTTCTTAGGGTTTGAATTGAATGTTGTTTTCTGTGTTGTTTTCAAAGACAAACACTGACATGACCCAGATTGTGGTCTATCAGGCGGCCATAATGTCACTGGTTACCATGGCAAACCCTGTTGAGTTTAGGTTTCCGAATCTTTCTTCAAGAATGTTTTGTTATTGATTATCAAGTCAGACACAACTAAAGCGTTACTTTTGCAGCCTCTATAACAAAATAGCTGCTTCGCTGAGCCATGGATCTAATCTAATTCTGTGGTTGGGCACACTTTTTTCAACCCTGGCAACTATTTGGCATATTATAACTGCAAATTCATCACTCTTACATAAAAGGTATGAAAGAAAAACAATGATATGTTTGGGGAACAATAGGTTTGTATGGGACACATTGATATGTATGAGGAAAAAAAGGTTTATATGGGGAACAATAGGTTTACATGGAGAAATCTAGGTATACACAGGAATGGCCGACACAATTAGTATCGACAGTTTTCTATACAAATAACAATCAGCGTAACTACTTGACAAAAGTAACCAAAAACGCCTTTCCACAAGGCCATGAATCAATGAACTAGTACGAAAAATTGCAATGAGACTGTGTGACAACCCAGAAATGTTATATCAGTACAAAAAACAAATTAGAGCTAGTGATTTTCTTCCTTCGTATAATTTTATTTGTTATTTTAGTGAACTGAGACGAGATGTTATACTGAGTCTGAGACAAACACAGGATAACGAGGCTGAGACAAACACAGGATACTGAATCCGAGACAAACACAGGATGCTGAATCTGAGACAAACACAGGAAGCTGAGTCCGAGACAAACCCAGGATGCTGAATCTGAGACAAACACAGGCTATCGAGGCTGAGACAAACACAGGAAGCTGATTCCGAGACAAACACATGATGCTGAATCTGAGACAAACACAGGCTATCGTGGCTGAGACAAACACAGGAAGCTGAGTCTGAGACAAACACAGGATACTGAGTCTGAGACAAACACAGGAAGCTGAGTCTGAGACAAACACAGGCTTTCGTGGCTGACACAAACACAGGAAGCTGAGTCTGAGACAAACACATGTATGCTGAGTCTGAGACAAACAAATGTATGCTGAGTTTGAGACAAACACAGGATGCTGAGTTTGAGACAAACACAGGATGCTGAATCTGAGACAAACACAGGATACTGACTCCGAGACAAATACAGGCTATCGTGGCTGAGACAAACACTGGATAGCAAGGCTGAGACATGGCTAGGAATTCTACAACACTAATCACTTCACACAACATGTAAACCTACACACATATCATCTAAATGAAAAATGTATCCAAAGTACACAATGTCATACTGGCGTTTATCTTGAGAGATGATTCACTTAATCTTAATCACAACATATCTGTAGCTTCAGTGAGAGAATCATGTCAATGGAAATTGTAATTTTGAGTGTTTTTCCTCTCCTAGGGTCAAAATTACTCCTTTTAATGAAAGCATAACTAATTCATTTATATCATACCCTGGTATTTCATTTGTATGGTAAAAAGTTATTTCTGAAACTTCTGATTTTTTTCTACATACATGTGTCCCTCAGTGAAAAATGTTACATGCACAAAACTAAACTTATATATACCGTTTGGAAGGCGATGAACGAATACACCAATTATGTTGTACATATGTGAAGTTAGACATGACAAAAATGACTTTTTTGAGTTATGGTAAATAGAGATATTTCAAATTCAATTCGAGTTAATTATCCACACTTACATATGTGTACAATCTTAATCTGGGTGTCTGGAGTTTGCAAGCAGCATGCGTAAAACAATCTACAATTTTAACCTCCGGAGTTTGTAAACTGCATGAGTAATACTTTTGTCTATAATCTCAAATCATGGCCCAACACCTAAATACAAAAACCATAAACTAAGCATTTACGTGTTATAACAAGTACGGTAACAACAACAGCAAATATGACAGATTTTAATTTCACTGTTCGCCGAGGACTTTCCATTAGAATTTTTCTCAAAATATCTCAATTTTTTTTCGGTTCTTATTTCTCAAAAATAAAAAGATGACATAAAAAATGTAGCTACCATGTTATAAATTTGGTAAAAAAAAAATCTTACAAAAATATTTGTTTCCTTTTCATGATTGTTATGTTGTAGTTTTTCACAAAGAATATTTGAACATATTGCTGTTCCTTTATTAACCCATTTTTTACCACTTGTAAAACAAGTGGAAGAGGATCTTATTATGAAAGATGGCATAACGGGGCAGTTTGATTTTTTTCCCATAGCAACATTTTCCTCAACAGATCAAATACAATTTATTCTGAAAACAGCTTTCTGAATGATGTGAGAACAAGTTTCAACTCTATATCTTATTTACAGCTGCCGAATCTCAAGAAAAATTGGAACAGTTTGATATAACACCTGATCAAAATGAAAATCAACACAAAAATTTTCAATGACAAAAAAAATCAAATAATCATCAACTTTTCTAATCTATATGACCGGGGGTATTTAGCTTAGAAATTGTAACCCTACAAAGCAGTTTATGAGATTGAGAAAAGCATTTCATACATTAAATACTCCAATTCCTGCTATAAATTGTCATTTTAGTTCCTAGTAACTTTTCACTACAATACAATCATTTCAAACTGCCCACCTCATCAATAGAATGTAGAATTAATTCATTACATTCACAAAGATCAATATATAAAACAACATTTGATGAAATAATCAAAATTTGGTATTTATGATTTATCTGAAGAAAGAATCATTTGTTCAGCCTAACAATATATGGCCAACTGAAGTCTAGACCTTTCACTTTTGTCATTCTGAATGACTTCAGCTGCCTTGTATAAGGAGAAAAAAGATTCCACATCCCTTAGTGTTACAAATCCTGGTACGAACAGGTGATAGGTAAAAAACAGTGTGACTACTTGTAAAAGCTAATTTCCTCCTTTGTCGATTCGCAGACAGTTTGTTAGACTGTCTGTGATTGGTGGTTTGGCAGCTCCTTTTCTTCTCTGTTGATTGGTGAACTTTTTTTGTAAGATGGTCTCTGATTGGTAGTTACAAAGTCTACTTCCTTCTCTGTTGATTTACATACTGTTTGTTATAAGACTGTCTCTGATTGGTGCCACCTCTGGCCCCACCTCCCTGGTTGCCTGGGTGACTAGACTGACGGTACTGGTCATTAGGTACTGATACACCTAAGAGTAAAAATGTGTTAAATCAATTAAATAATAATAATAATTTGAGGTTCTTATACACCACTTTATCACAACCCAGTTTGTAGGTCGTCTCAAAGCGGTTCACAAATTATCATCCGTGGTTATAGGGCCTTAGCAACCAGCCAATATCTTTCTAAACTCCCTGGGGAGCATACAGCAGGTGCTGCCATTTCAGCGCTCACAGCTAGCATTCAACAATTCTAGTAATGCCAAACCACGTGCTCATTTAAAGCTGAGTAGACTGGAACAATCGGAGTAAAGTATCTTGCTCAAAGATACAACACAGTGTCGTTAGGCATGCCTCGAACCCGCAACCCTTCGGTCACGAGCCTGGGGTCCTACCACTAGACTACCGTGCCTCCAATTAATAACTAGGAAAGCAACTACAGTAAAAGCCCTTGAACTCTAATCCTCTGTCGCAAAACAACTTCATTGGATAAGGAAAAGAAATCATGGAAGGCAGCTTTCGGTGTCAAAATCATTATTCTCATTCCTGTACGAATGTGACTTTTACAAAATACATGTAACAGATGGACAAAGACCGATGACAGAGTGAAGCAGGGGAGACATGAATAACAGAAGTGAAGCTTAGTATTACAAAACCATTTTTTTCTTAATCCTGTTTATTTTCAACATCATTTCCATAGCAGCTTTACTTCAATAAGACTACAACTGCTTGAATATAATGAGGATAGACCGTGCATAGCTCCGATAACGTTACGACAACTTACCAATGTTGGGGGGTCCCATGTTACCCTGATTGGCTGCCATAGTAGTATAATGAGAATAGACCATGCATAAAAAATGTAGCTCCGATAACGTTACAACAACTTACCAATGTTGGGGGGTCCCATGTTACCCTGATTGGCTGCCATAGTAACTTGCCTTGGTGATGACCCAGGAGGAATGTTCTGAATATAAAATGAGATTAACGGTAAAAGTCATGATAGAGGATACAAGAACACTTTCCATCATTTTTTTTCATTCTAATCAAAATTTGATTGTTCTTCTTAATACAAGAAAATGAAGTTGGTCCTTCAAAATTTTTAATTAAGAATAATTAATTACAAGCAAGGTTAGTGTTAACTGTGACCAAGGTTATCAGGAAACTGTGTTAACTGCAAACAAGGTTAGTGTTAACTGTGACCAATGTTATCAGTAAACTGTGTTAACTACAAACAAGGTTAGTGAGAGTATCTAAAGTGCAAACAAAATAGGAAATTAAGCTGATAACGAAGTCATACTTGAATGAAATTATCGTAGGAATGTCAAATAATCAAATATTGTAAACTTATTTTCAGATTACCCAGGGTTTGTAATAAACATGTTTTACAGTTCAAATATTTTGGGGTTCATATCAATAACAGATGATTTTATAACATAAATATTAGTTGTTTGAAAATGAAAATAAGATAAGATGGGTCTTACATAGCTGTATCCCCCCTCCCAAGTCAAATGTAACCTTTGACCCCTAAACCTTGACTGAAGAAAACCAAAATCTGATCAGGTTTAGCATCTGATGATATCATACTATGGTGTGAAAATGTAAACTAAAAGAGTGGTCAAATGTGACTTTTCACCCTTCGACCTTGACCAATGACCACCAAAATCTACTCAGTTGTAGAAATCAATGTAATAACACTCAGCTATGAATGTCAACTAAATCTGTTACTGGGTTCACGAGAGATTTTGTACACAAGCTTAAGTGATAAACCAAATACCCACTTACTAAAGTGAGGAGGGTGTAACTACATTTCTTCCCCAACCACTATTACATAGGTTTCCTTACTCCTGACTCACTGGATAAACTTGCTAGGAGTCAGTAAACACTCTAGTTACCCACTAGTGTGTAATACCCTGGACGTGATTTGATCAGTCAATCTTCTAAATTATAACATCAAGGATCAAAGCTTTGCGATATCATCTTCCATTGTGACGTCATAGTTTATGGCAATTGTTTCCCTGATCGGAAACAGGAACATATGGTTTTCTAGACATAATATCTGAACATTGTGGGAGAAAAAGGTCCCCAAACTCGTGATGGGTTAGGGTTATCATCTTGTTTATCTAACTCTTAGTAGTTAATTTTTAAATTGTAAAAGATACTCAGTAAACCTTGTGTCCTTATACAATTTGAAAATTAACTAACTCGAGTTAGATAAACATGATAACCAGCCATCACTCGTTGGGGAACCTCTATGTAACTATTGATGAGAGTATACCTGAGCATCATGAGAAGACTGAGGAATGATAGGTTGCTGTACAGAAAAGGATACTAGATCATGTCTACCCCTTGTCACCGTGGTAACACTAGGCACAGAACCCTGTAGCTCCAGGTGACGTGGGGAGGAGTGTAGAGGATGGTTAATCATGGGAACGAGGTGTCCCACCACCGTGTTAGGAGAGGAAGCAAGAAAGTTAGTGGCGACATAGGCCGAGTTAGTCGCCAATGGCGATGTTGATAGTGATGAAGATGGACATGCATGTGGCGAGTGAGATAATTGCCATACAGGGTATGCGTTTGGTGGTGTTCCCTGGTGGCGCTGTTGTTGCTGCTGTTGTTGCTGAGACAAACGCTGTTGCTGCGGCTGGTTTTGCATGAATTGATTCATCCAGGGATGGCCAGGCATCCCCTTACTGTGTGGACTAGTGGACATGTACGGCTCCTGGTACTGAGGCCGGCCTATTTGTTTAGGAGAAGACATTGGCCGGGGGTCATGACCTTGCTTCATAGGTGATACAGTTTGTCTAGGAGGTGGGTAGGAGTCGGATAGGTTGACTTTGGACCGTGGGCTACCACTGTAATTGCCCTGAGGGCTGCCACTGTTGAACTGCCTCGGTCCTGTCGACCTCTGGTTACCAAACGGCATGGGGATATTCTGAAAGGTAAACACAGGATAGTAAATACTGACTTATCTCATTTTATATGTTGGATAAGAGAAGAATCTGCCGCCGAGAGTTAACAACTAAAGCATTGATCATTTGTACCCCCAATGGTTTTAGTTTCTTCCATGTGGTAACACAAATTACTTTTTCAATTCCTCAATGTTATGTTCATATGAATATTAATCTTTATATTGTATGCACAAGAGGTTCCTATACCACAACCAGTGAAATGTTTACGTGTTTTGATGATCAGTGTGATATGTATGTACTCTTTCAGCTTCATCAGACAGATGAACAAACACTTTACTTACCTTCGCAAAGAGAATGTTCAGAAATGGATTTTCACATGTATGTATTAGCATTCATCTTTACATGTTTATAATAACATCAACTCATTCACCCAAAAAGACACATTTGAACTCTTCCAACTCAAAGGTTGGAATAGTTCATTATGAGATTTCAGGGGTAAATGAGTTAATCTTTACTTTTTTATATTGACTAGCACTATCCTTAAATGAATATTTTAAAATTTGTCTAAAATGTACATAGTAACATTCATATTTATATAATTTTACTATCAATTATTCAAATATACAGGTCTTTGACCTCACATAGAAAATATGTAAAATTTGGCTACAGCAGCTGTTCAGATAACTGGTTTAGCTAGCTGATCATATTGTCTGCGTCACTCTTTGGACTGACAAATTAGGTTTGGAGAGGATAAACAATTTGGTGTGACTATATTAAAGATTTGAGTATAACAGTTTAGAACCTGATGGCGAATAGTAGAATATTACAGAAATAACTGCAGAAAGTCGCAGTATATATATTTCACAGATGTCATGGTTACTAACTTCCTACATTTTTAACAGTCACAGTAAGTTAGTATTTAGGTGCATTCAGTTGGAAAACATTTTGGGTGGAATGTTTGAAACTTGTACAATACGAAAGTCAACCAGTAGATAACTTAACAGTAAGGTATATGTAATAATTGAAAGTTTGCCAGTGTTATTTCTATTGACAAATTACGATTTTTAATATTTTTTAATATGATTAACAGTTAAAAAAATATGTAATTCTAACCAGAATTACAAATACATCTGTAGCACATGTACAAATGCTCTGTAATGTTCCAAAATAATTCACTACAAAAATAAGCAAAGCAGTAAAAATCGCCAATAAATTCCTCTTGTTATTTTGACACAGTGACTGTAAATATACTTAAAAATAAATCAGTCACCATTTCTTGGTACTACTTTTTGCTAATTCATAAATGCAAAGTTGTGATATCTGCAAAAGAAAGCAAGCACATGAGTTTGCATGATACGCCCGTCAGCAGTCATAAGAATCACGCAAATCTACTGATATTAAGATAGCTATCACACTGAACGTAAAACAGATAAATGGACTAAAGCCATACCATAACATCACCTGTCAGTGGCAGACGTACATAAAATAGGTGATGGAGCCCCTGCATTCAAAAACAAAAGTAGGTCAAACTGAGGTCACAGTGACTTAATTTTATAATGTTATTAAGATAGAGTCCTACTCTGCAGGTTTTGCCTAACAGAGTCCTGGTACCAAGTAGTACATGGCCCCTTTCAGGTATCCGATTCAACCGTTTCAACCAGCTGAACCCGAAAAGAAAACGACAGGCTCAGATCTGAACTGAGGCTGCATGTGACCTCTGGAATATTCCGTGCATGCGTATTAAGGGGTCCAGACGTGCCTGACCGAAACTGAAATGCTGACTATTGCTTGTTTGCATTATTTCTTTATCAAGCAAGGTCAATTCACCTAGGATACTTTAGACTATGTTATATTATTTAGTAAACACTCAAAATTGTTATTTATTTGTCATAAAACTCCGAAACTTTGCTTTTTTTTTTTTTAGCTCTGCCTACAGTTTGGTCTAAGTGCATTAATTTATTGCGGAATATTTCTGCACCACCTGAACCGTTTCACCGGGGATATACGAATGCAACCTGTGAGATATGGTTATGAGAAGGGACATAACTCTCTTAAACTGGGCATAAATTCTTCTTATTGCTCATGGCCTCCATCTTCAAAATTTATATCAGCCAGCCAAGATTCATCGAAATCCAATCAGATGACGGTAAGTCACATAATGCAGAGACCAATCAGGTTGTAGTATGCTAATAAGATAGTTTCATCATCATCTAACCTGGCCTCTGTCTTCCTATTGAGTATCTGCTGACCATGTTTCATTGAAACCCAATAAGCTATGATGTGAAATGCAGACCAATCAGTTTGCAGCATGCTGACTAAGATATGCATACATTTTGTACATACCTCATCCAACTTAGTTTCCATCTACCTAAAATGTTTCTTCCAACCATTTTTATTAAATCTGATGATATAAGGAAAGTAATCGCGTGGAAATGAAATGTTTAATAAGTGAAAGGGAAGAGGTCATTCCATAGTACTACCAATTGGAGGCAGACATATAAAGACACTGTAATTCTGCATGTTTTAGATAGCTTAAGTGAGTTACCTGCTAGTAAGGTAGGAAGAAGAACACAAAGGTATCATATATGTCATGCAACTGACACAAACTTCAATGATACTGCCATTATATTGGTGAACAATTAATTACAAACCCTTGGCTGGCTGACCATATGCCGTTGATGTTGTTGCTGCTGCTGTTGCTGCTGATATCTTTGTCCAGATTTAGAAACTGGGTGTTGCTGCGAGTTTCCAAGGGAACGCCAGTTCTGTTCAATATCTGGGTCATTGGGGTCAGGCTTTGACCTTCTTGGCCCTGCAAGTAAAATTGTATCACCACTTTATATATGAAAATGACACAACACATTCTTTGGACTGACAAATTCAGTGGAAATACATTTGGAGCAGACACACTGTCAGGGTGAACAATCTACCTTTGGTGTGGACACACTGTTTGGGTGAACAATCTACCTTTGGAGTGGACACACTATTTGGGTGAATAATTTACATTTGGTGTGAACACACTATTTGAGTGGATAATCTACCTTTGGAGTGGACACACTATTTGGGTGAACAATCTACCTTTGGTGTGGACACACTGTTTGGGTGAATAGTCTACCTTTGGAGTGGACACACTGTTTGGGTGAATAGTCTACCTTTGGAGTGGACACACTGTTTGGGTAGTTAATCATAAGGATGAACAGTCTACATTTGAAGCAGACACATTGTTATTAGAATGAACAGTAAACATACTGTCTGAGTTGACAGTATTAGCTGACATACTGTCTGAGTTGAAAGTCTTAGTTGACATACTGTCTGAGTTGACAGTATTAGTTGACATACTGTCTGAGTTGAAAGTCTAAGTTGACATACTGTCTGAGCTGACAGTATTTGTTGAAATACTGTCCCAGTTGGCAGTCCTAGCTGACATACTGTTTGGGTTGACAGTATACAATTGTTTCATTGGTACTGGGGGAACAGTCAAATCTTTGACCTGAGGTAGCAGGGAAGACCTAGGGAACTGTTCCCTAGGTCTTCCCTGCTACCGAGGGTCAAGGATTTGACTATTCCCCCAGTACCAATGAAACAAATGATTTATTACCTGACTCTCTATTTAAGTAACTTCCTGAATTATGCGAGTTAGGATAATTGACTGTATGGAAACATTCTCTAATCTGCCGTTATTCGCCATTTTCACCAGACGACAACAAACAAATCTGTATCACAAAGACGGTTGAGTGGGGCCGCCGACGGGGAAATTGTCTGCGCATGATTGTCGCGCATGCAACAGTAATGGTGAAACAGTCGACTGTTGCACCCTGACATTATTTTACGTGTTTTCAGTATTTTCCAGGGATTTTTTTTATTAAAACAGTCAAAAATACTTCATATACACTTAAATAGAGAGTCGGGTAATAATAATAGTTGACATACTGTCTGAGTTGACAATCTTAGTTTAAATACTGTCTGAGTTGACAGTCTTAGTTGACATACTGTCTGAGTTGACAGTGTTAGCTGAAATACTGTCTGAGTTGACAGTGTTAGTTGACACATTGTCTGAGTTGACATACTAAGTTGACAAACTGTCTTAGTTGACAGTCTTATAGTGGACATACTGTCTGAGTTGACAGTCTTATTTGACATACTGTCTCAGTTGACAGTCTTAGCTGACATACTGTCTGAGTTGACAGTGCTAGTTGACATACTGTCTGAGTAGACAGTATTAGTTGACAGCTGACATACTATCTAAGTTGACAAACTGTCTCAATTGACAGTCTTAGTTGACATACTGTCTCAGTTGACAGTCTTAGCTGACATACTTTCTGAGTTGACAGTGCTAGTTGACATACTGTCTGAGTAGACAGTATTAGTTGACAGCTGACATACTATCTAAGTTGACAAACTGTCTGAGTTGACAGTCTTAGTTGACATACTGTCTGAGTTGAAAGTTGACATAATGTCTCAGTTGACTTTATTATTTGACATACTGTTAGAGATGACAGTATTAGCTGACATACTGTCTGAGTTGACAGTTGACATACTGTCTGAGTTGACTTTATTATTTGACATGCTGTTCGAGTTGACAGTCTTAGTTGACATACTGCCTGAGTTGACAGTATTAGTTGACATACTGTTAGAGATGACCGTATTAGCTGACATACTGTTTGAGTTGACAGTCTTAGTTCTGTCTGAGTTGACAGCCTACCTTTGGGCTGGTTGTACTGGCCTTGAGACATATTTCTGTCCAAATATCGACCCTGTTCCTCTGAGTTGTTTCTGTGACCATCCTCCCTCTGTTGTTTTTTATCCTTTGACCTGAAGTTTTTAAACTTTTCTTCTCTGGAAAATCAACAGAAAATGATATGAAAATTTCACAAGTTCTCAAAGCTGCAGAAGCTGTGCTCAATAACACATCACTCATTTCCTATTATTATTTAGTCTGATATCCATTTGAGCAATAGTAAGTAAGGTCAAACAGTCTTTACAGATAAAAACATCCGTCTTTGATACACATAACACATACGAGAATCTTTATACACTCATTCATCTACTGTATACCACAAAGTTTTCCCCTTCGATGGTAAAATGCGTTTTTGCCCAATATTAAATATTTCCCTTCGCATTAAATTACAATGTTTTTATTGTTTACAAATGTTCGCTGTAATGATAAAATCGCCCTTATTATAACATAGCAGGCACAAAAGGCAAAAATTAAACCGAAGTGAAAATTTCCCAGTAAACAGTACTAGTTTACTTTTTCACATAAGTTTTGTCTACAATAAATCTAACATAGCAACTATCGGTCTTGATGTTCACCTGTTTATAGCAACCACCTCTACATAACAACCTATACACGACTTTCCAGAAATATAAATTGTTTAAAGACACAAAACGGACAAAAGGTGATTGCAATAGGCCACATAAGATGAAGACTTTGTCTTAGGTGACTTAAAAATGTATTGTTTGATGCTACCACTGCTGTTGGCCAACACCGGAAAATGAACACATATGACCCGCCTCCACAGACGGGGTAATGACTGTTGTGGCATGTATAGTAACTGTTGAAAATACTCTGAATGTGTTACCTACATGTGGATAACAAGATATGTGTAACACCTTGCCCTTTTATCTACTGCCTCAAGAGAGACAAAACATCTAGTTGTAATATAGGAGAACCCCAGGTTTACTCTTGTCACCCTTTCTCCTATATTAATGAAGCTATTAGTATTTTTAAGGAAACACTTCTAAAGCAATACACTTCCCAACCATACCCACTTCTAGGAACACCACATACCCACTTCTAGGAACACCAGAAATTCTACACTTGGAATACCAAGTATTTAATGTAACTAAATATCAGGGGTGGTCGGGTGGCGCAGTGGATAACCCACTTGCCTGTTACCAAGGCAGTCGGGGTTTGATTCCCTGATGAGACGTGAATAGGTATGGGGTCACCTGCCCCATCACATGGGTTTTCTCCGGGTACTCCAGTTTCCTCCCACAATAAGACCCTGTGCTAATTTCTGGGCATACAAGAGTGATTAATATAAGTTGAAATAACTTGTTTCATGATTGTTGCAAAATAAATATTTTTGTTTAAAAACTAAATATCCTCAACTATACATGACCGTTGGTGCTGATAATACAGAAGAAACAAAGCACCTCTCTTTCCTCTGCAGGACTCTGGGACACTCCTTGGCAATGTGGCCGATCTTGTTACACACGCGACAACATCGGTCACTAGGTGGTGCCCCTTGAGACAACTGGCTCTTGTCAAAGAAATAATCCTGTCAAAAAAATAAAAAATCCAATGTTGATCCATACATCACATCATTGGAAACCCACGTTTGATTGTACTAGACTTTATCGCTAGTGCGATCGAACGTGGGTTTCCGACGATGCATATATTGTATCAATAAATCTCTCTTTACAGCAGAATAATGGACACTACTATTTGTGAATGACTTTTAAGCAAATCTTCTTTTTCAATCACGAACAACTGAATGATAAAGAGTTGCTTGGTAGAACTCATTGTAAATTAACTCACCCCAGGATTGGAGAGGGACTTTGGGATTTCTGCTGGCATACCGTACAGCTCTCGGCCTCGGATAAATGTCTTCATGATATACTGATTCACTATAAAACACAGGCAGTAAGTACATTAGCATCAAAAACTCCAGGTCGCAAGGAGCATGTTGGGGAAATATCTTATACTTTTAACTAAATGGGTAACAGAAGAAGAAAGCACTGAAATACTGGAAACACTGAAATGTTAAATTTTCCATGAATATTTATTTATTTATAATATAGCAAGATTTCAATAATATCTTCACCTGTAACTGAACTATGAATTTAAGTTAAGTTGATCTGCTTCACGGAACTCAAAATCATAGCATTGAAATACTTATCAATAGATGAATGTGACGTTACTTGGATCATTAACGTATCTCAGATCTATAATTATACAGGCGTTCCTGGACTTTGATCATTAACGTATCTCAGATCTATAATTATACAGGCGTTCCTGGCTCTCCCGATGCTTATCCAGTCTAGTTTTAAAAGTGGTAACAGTCGGTGTTAAAACCACATTTTTTCCGGAAGGTTGTTCCATATTCTTACAATTCGTACAGCACAAAAGTTCTTGCGGATATCTGATCTAGAATATTGTGGAAATACTTTCATTGGATGTTCTCTTATTGTTCCCGGTCTATGTGATTGATCTTTCCACATCTTAATAAAATCTGTTGCTCTATTATCTTTACTAGTGTTCGTTTTTTTAAACACCTCAATTCAAAATTGATTTAGATATTCAACCCAAACCAATTCAATACATAAGCAAAGCATGCTTTTTCTTCCAATATCATATTTTTTATGCATAAATAACTCAATTCTGTATGCTAACTTACCAGACAATGCCTCAGTGTATTAATTGCGATTTCTACAAGTTTTTCATTAACCCTTTCACCCCTATGTAACTTTAGTAGACTCTACCATGCATTGATATGGATGAGTCCGTTATGGTCTACAGTGGTGAAAGGGTTACAAAATGTACAGTATAGAAAAAGCTAATCATAAAAGCTATCATCATCGGATACCCATGGCTGATTTCGCTTCGCTACTCATGATTAGTTATTACGTCGATTTTTTTCGGCAAGTTTGCCCACGGGTGATAATTGAGTAGCGAAGCAAAATCAGCCATGGATATCCGACGATGAAAACCTATATTTACAATTACTGTTCTATATTTTCTATATATCCTGAACACCAGTACTTACTTTTTCTTGACAGACCACCACCCAGGTTGTGTGATAAATCGAAAGGATCTGCAAAGTAAAAGAAGAGAACCCTGATAATTCTTCATTATGAGTCAATTTCTAGTAAGTTCGTGGAAATTGTGTTCCATTGATTTTTTTAGGAACTGAATCAGACCTTCATGGGAATTGTGTGTTAAATTGATTTTTTTTAGGAACTGAATCAGACCTTCATGGGAATTGTGTGTTCCATTGATTTTTTTTAGGAACTGAAAAAAGTCAGATCTTGTCACAAAGAGCTCTTACAGAAGCTAAATCTTGTCACAAAGAGTTACAGAAACTTAATCTTGTCACAAAGAGTTACAGAAACTTAATCTTGTCACAAAGAGTTACAGAAACTACCTCTTGTTTGTCACAAAGAGTTAAAGAAACTAAATCTTGTCACAAAGAGTTACAGAAGCTAAATCTTGTTTGTCACAAAGAGTTACTGAAACTAAATCTTGTCACAAAGAGTTACAGAAGCTAAATCTTGTTTGTCACAAAGAGTTACTGAAACTAAATCTTGTCACAAAGAGTTACTGAAACTAACTCTTGTTTGTCACAAAGAGTTAAAGAAACTAAATCTTGTCACAAAGAGTTACAGAAGCTAAATCTTGTTTGTCACAAAGAGTTACAGAAGCTAAATCTTGTTTGTCACAAAGAGTTACAGAAGCTAACTCTTGTTTGTCACAAAGAGTTACAGAAAATAACTCTTGTTTGTCACAAAGAGTTACAGACACTAAATCTTGTCACAAAGAGTTACAGAAGCTAAATCTTGTTTGTCACAAAGAGTTACTGAAACTAAATCTTGTCACAAAGAGTTACAGAAACTAACTCTTATCACAAAGAGTTACAGAAACTAAATCTCGTCACAAAGAGTTACAGAAGCTAAATCTTGTCACAAAGAGTTACAGAAGCTAAATCTTGTCACAAAGAGTTACAGAAACTTACTCTTGTCACAAAGAGTTACAGAAACTAACTCTTGTCACAAAGAGTTACAGAAACTAAATATTGTCACAAAGAGTTACAGAAACTAACTCTTTGTTTGTCGAAAAGAGTTACAGAAACTAAATCTTGTCAAAAAGAGTTACAGAAACTAAATCTTGTCACAAAGAGTTACAGAAACTACCTCTTGTTTGTCACAAAGAGTTACAGACACTAAATCTTGTCACAAAGAGTTACAGAAACTTACTCTTGTCACAAAGAGTTACAGAAACTAAAACTTGTCACAAAGAGTTACATAAACTAACTCTTGTTTGTCACAAAGAGTTACAGACACTAAATCTTGTCACAAAGAGTTACAGAAACTTAATCTTGTCACAAAGAGTTACAGAAACTTAATCTTGTCACAAAGAGTTACAGAAACTTAATCTTGTCACAAAGAGTTACAGAAACTAAATCTTGTTTGTCACAAAGAGTTACTGAAACTAAATCTTGTCACAAAGAGTTACTGAAACTAACTCTTGTTTGTCACAAAGAGTTAAAGAAACTAAATCTTGTCACAAAGAGTTACAGAAACTAAATCTCGTCACAAAGAGTTACAGAAGCTAAATCTTGTTTGTCACAAAGAGTTACAGAAGCTAAATCTTGTCACAAAGAGTTACAGAAGCTAAATCTTGTTTGTCACAAAGAGTTACAGAAGCTAAATCTTGTCACAAAGAGTTACAGAAACTAAATCTTGTCACAAAAAAAGTTCACAAGAATGTGAATTACAATCCACACCTGTACAACTTACCCTCTATTGCTATGCACTTTCCGTTCCACAGTTTTTCGAATCGTGTCAGTGGCTCTGATAGTCTGATACACACCACATTTTCCTTCATGCAGAACTCTTCAGTGTAAAAGACAAACATGCCCAACCACAACTCCCCGAAACTCTGCTGGTTCTTGCACTTCCAGATTTTGGGCTGAAATGTTGAAATATTGAATCTGGAATCAACATCAAAACTAACCCTAAATTTTATTTATTAAAGCTGATGGGAATGATGTTGTGTCTGCTTTTCTATAGGAAGGGGGCCGGTTATAAGCATTCTTTACCTGTATATGACTATGTCAGTGGTGCCTTACATAGACTCCATAAGGACATCTGAAGCTAGACCCTAACTGTGTCCATGATATATAGCTGTACCTCTGATATGAAACTGATTCAAGTCAATTCTCAATCTTTTTCCAAGTCTGAAAGGAATTCTTGATTTCTTTTTCAGTCATGAAATCAATTCTAAAATGTCTTTTCCAGTTTGAAATCAGTTTTAAATTTCATTTCAAGTTTGAAATTCATGTTTTTACTCAAATTCATTTCTTTTTCAATCAGTTGACTAGAATGTAAATGGTACTTTTGTGACAATTCAGTATACATTACTGGTAAAACACAGGCTCATATATATCCAGTCCGGTAATAAGCCCACCCCCTACTTCTGACATGTTTTCATGCACAGGTCCCCTGGGCTTATCACCGGTGAAATAAGGTGTGGACATGGACACCATTTGAAGCAATGTCAATCTGAACTTGGTGAAGTGTGCACAGTTGTATCAACTCAAGAACATATTTTGAATGTATCATAGGTATAAACACTAAGTATAAACACTAAATGTGGTGCTACATTTAATACAATGTTGTTCTACACAGAGAAAATGTCCTTCAATGAAAGCCCTTACATTTCCATAATGTGATTTTCATAAACAGTGAGTCAAAAATACATTTCTTGCAAATTTCGATCACACACAATTCACCCTAAAACATGGTCTGCAATAATTACCAATTTCTCCGCGTCGTCAAAGTACCACGTGTTCCAGCCATCAATAACCCTTTCTGGTTTCTTGCCTGGATATAACTGTAACAGAGAAGTGTTCAACCTCTTACTAGAGCTACATTTATAGATCATGATTTAGTTTATTCTTACATCTTCAGATAAAACATCAAGAATAAGATATTCATAAAATTATTTCCAATAAATTATTCCTCATTAATCCTTACAACTGATGTAGAGTTGATCAACACATCAAAAATAAGACCACAGATATACAAATACCAGGTTTAAATTGATTATTTACACTGCTGGAGATAGTAAACATACTCACCTCCTGTAGGACTGGTAAGACTGAAGGTTTACACTGCTGGAGGTAGGTAAACACACTCACCTCCTGTAGGACGGGTAAGACTAAAGGTTTACACTGCTGGAGGTAGGTAAACATACTCACCTCCTGTAGGACTGGTAAGACTGAAGGGTTACACTGCTGGAGGTAGGTAAACACACTCTCCTCCTGTAGGACGGGTAAGACTAAAGGTTTACACTGCTGGAGGTAAGTAAACACACTCACCTCCTGTAGGACTGGAAAGATTGAAGTTTACACTACTGGAGGGAGTAAACATACTCACCTCCTGTAGGACTGATAAGACTGAAGGTTTACACTGCTGGAGGTAGGTAAACATACTCACCTCCTGTAGGACTGGTAAGACTGAAGGTTTACACTGCTGGAGGTAGGTAAACACACTCACCTCCTGTAGGACTGGTAAGATTGAAGTTTACACTACTGGAGGTAGTAAACATACTCACCTCCTGTAGGACTGGTTAGACTGATGGTTTATACTGCTGGAGGTAGGTAAACATACTCACCTCCTGTAGGACTGGTAAGACTGATGGTTTACACTGCTGGAGGTAGTAAACATACTCACCTCCTGAAGGACTGGTAAGACTGAAGGTTTACACTGCTGGAGGTAGGTAAACACGCTCACCTCCTGTAGGACTGGTAAGACTGAAGGTTTACACTGCTGGAGGTAGTAAACAGACTCACCTCCTGTAGGACCGGTAGGACTGAAGGTTTGCACTGCTGGAGGTAGTAAACATACTCACCTCCTGAAGGACTGGAAAGACTGAAGGTTTACACTGCTGGAGGTAGGTAAACACGCTCACCTCCTGTAGGACTGGTAAGACTGAAGGTTTACACTACTGGATGTAGTAAACATAATCACCTCCTGTAGGACCGGTAGGACTGAAGGTTTGCACTGCTGGAGGTAGTAAACATACTCACCTCCTGAAGGACTGGTAAGACTGAAGGTTTACACTGCTGGAGGTAGTAAACAGACTCACCTCCTGTAGGACCGGTAGGACTGAAGGTTTGCACTGCTGGAGGTAGTAAACATACTCACCTCCTGTAGGACCGGCAAGACTGAAGGTTTACACTGCTGGAGGTAGTACACACACTCACCTCCTGTAGGACTGGTAAGACTGAAGGTTTACACTACTGGATGTAGTAAACATAATCACCTCCTGTAGGACCGGTAGGACTGAAGGTTTACACTACTGGAGGTAGTAAACATCCTCACCACCTGTAGGAGCGGTAGGACTGAAGGTTTACACTGCTGGAGGTAGTAAACAGACTCACCTCCTGTAGGACCGGTAGGACTGAAGGTTTACACTACTGGAGGTAGTAAATATACTCACCTACTGTAGGACTGGTAAGACTGAAGGTTTACACTGCTGGAGGTAGTAAACATACTCACCTCCTGAAGGACTGGTAAGACTGAAGGTTTACACTGCTGGAGGTAGTAAACATACTCACCTCCTGTAGGACCGGCAAGACTGAAGGTTTACACTGCTGGATGTAGTAAACATAATCACCTCCTGTAGGACCGGTAGGACTGAAGGTTTACACTACTGGAGGTAGTAAACATACTCACCTCCTGTAGGACCGGTAAGACTGAAGGCTTACACTGCTGGAGGTAGTAAACATACTCACCTCCTGTAGGACCGGCAAGACTGAAGGTTCACACTGCTGGATGTAGTAAACATAATCACCTCCTGTAGGACCGGTAGGACTGAAGGTTTGCACTGCTGGAGGTAGTAAACATACTCACCTCCTGTAGGACCGGTAGGACTGAAGGTTTACACTGCTGGAGGTAGTAAATATACTCACCTCCTGTAGGACCGGTAGGACTGATGGTTTACATTGCTGGAGGTAGTAGATGAGGAGGAGGATGTAGGCATAGGAGGACAGACTTCCCCTGGATGCGTCTCCAATCTCACAAACCTGTCAAGTTTATGAAATTGATATATCGTTACTTTCTATCTTAATAAGATCTGTATGGGAAAAAATGCTGTTTAATTTACACAAAACATTTTTTTGTATCTTATTTTATGGCAAAATTGTTAACAATTTTTGTAGCTCAGTTTTATATATGATGTATGAATTATATATTTACACACCGTGACGTTATAATACGCTATGCTGTATGGCTTGTCTATGTCCCGTTTCATAAATGCCTGTGGGTGTGTCTGTATTTGTTTGTGTACTTTACTGGACACTGGACGATTGACCAATCGACAGGTGCCCTCACTGCAGGGACAGTTCACACGAATTTCCCGTCACCACTAGCACCGTATATAAGGTCCCGGGGCCCTAGGCAGCAGGTCTGCATTATTTACAGACGTCCTGCGATGCACTTCAGTATCTTTATATATATGTACATTGTATTCTATACAAAGCTGTGAAGCTGAGTGTACTTCTTACCTAATTCTGGAGACAGCCGTTTCCGGTATGTATTGCTATATTTAATTACTGATAATTATATTTATATGTAAAACATATCGCTGTCAATATATTCTTTTCTATTTCGTTTATACGTTCCGTTTATATAATCCGGTTATACATTCCAATGTGAGTTTTATGAAAGGTAATTTTATATTATTTGAAGGTTTTCTTTGTATTTGTCATCATCGTGAGTCCGCAAATTAAATGAAAGATCATCAAATTCATATGGAGTTTGACCTCTGTTTCCAACCCTGACCCAAGGTTAAATAGAAAAACATATAATTTTTTGCCTGAATCATAAATAAGTCATGTTGGGGTATGTGCATGTCACCCTGAATCAGGAATGGTGTGGAAAATATCAAATGATTCACATTTAACATCACTTGTAGTTGTCTTGGTTTCTTATTTCAAAACATCAGATGGGCCTTAATTTCCACAAAAGGAAAAGAAATTGAAAATCTTACCTTAGCAAATACTTTAAAGGCATAGCCAAGACACTTGACTCGGGGATCTAAGGAGGCATACAGTTGGATCATCTTCGTATTGTACAGTGCCTAAGGATGTATGACAAAAAATATATGAGAACAAATCTTACCGACAGTTACACAAAATAGCATCTCCCTGTATCAAATCTTACCAACAGTTATCAAAATAGCATCTACCTGTATCAAATCTTACCAACAGTTATACAAAATAGCATCTTACTGCATCAAATCTTACCAACAGTTATACAAAATAGCATCTACTCGTATCAAATCGTACCAACAGTTATACAAAATAGCATCAACCTGTATCAAATCTTACCAACAGCTATACAAAATAGCATCTGCCTGTATCAAATCTTACCAACAGTTATCAAAATAGCATCTACCAGTATCAAATCTTACCAACAGTTATACAAAATAGCATCTACCTGTATCAAATCTTACCAACAGTTATACAAAATAGCATCTAACTGCATCAAATCTTACCAACAGTTATACAAAATAGCATCTACCTGTATCAAATCTTACCAACAGCTATACAAAATAGCATCTAACTATCCAGTAAGTTATATTAACTAATGCCTACCTCTAATATATCTTACCAGTAAGTTAATCAAACTACTGTCTCCCTCAACTATGTCTTACCAGTAAGTTATACAAATTAATGTCTCCCTCTAAAATATCTTACCAGTAATTTATACAAACTAATGTTTCCCTCTTATATATCTTACCAGTAAGTTATAAAAACTAATGTCTCCCTCCAATTGGCTGCGTCTGTGTTTGAACTTGACGATTGGAACCTTGGCTGTGGTGATAGGAAACACATTGTAAAGGCCACGGTGCTTCTTCAGCTTCTGTGTGATTTCCTCTATCAGCATCACAGGGTCCAGACCCTGTGTAAACCGACACCACAACGTAGGTTATATTTGGAAGAGATAAAATGTGCATTCCGACAAAAAAAAAGGTTTAAACAAACCCTGAATACATAAAAAAAACCAGGACAGTAACATTTTCATTTTCTGTTGCTAGTGACAAAAAAAGACAGAAATAGGTATGCTAGGACTCATTGATTCACCATGTGTGAAGTAAATATAATGAAATATTCATTAAGGGAAATGTGTAATGAGCCAACAAGAAACCAGTATCTGATGATCAAGTAAAAATTTAAAAGATAATTACCTAGACCATGTCTATAAGCCCCAAAATAATATCCACTTTTCAAATTTCTTTAGAAAAGAACTTTCACCTGTTGCCTTTTTTAATCACAATGAAAAAGAATTCACTTCTTTGTTCTGGCATTAATATTTTTACTGCATGAGTAAGATATACAATACAGTAACATCAAAATTATTGTATACGGGAATGGTGTGGGAGGTACTAACCTCACTTGTGGGCTTGCCCTGGAAGGTCACACAGAGGTCAAGGTCACTCAGTTTAAATCCAAATCCGTTATGGGATGACCCAAACAAGTGGAGCTCAGCATCTGTAGACATAGAGGTCTTTGTTTGTCACAATGTACAATAGAACGTACCTGGTAATTATGTTAACATCGTGTGGTGGCAGTAAGAAACACAGCATGTTTCCAATCCGCAAATTACCAGAGGACATGGAATTACACAAAACATATTGCATCTGATGCGTAGTAACCTCAAGATAATATTTGTTTTACTGTATAGGAACAACACAATGAGGAGTAGTCTCCTAAATTTGGTATGATGTGAGAGATACTCACTTGTGTATGATATGCGTGAAGCACCTGTGAAACATACTGTGTATGTGTTTCCGTGACATCTACATATCTGGGTATGTTATATGTTTGTGTAACACCTACATAACCGGGTATGTCATGTGTTTGTGTAACACCTACATAACCGGGTATATCATGTGTTTGTGTAACACCTACATAACCGGGTATATTATGTGTTTGTGTAACACCTACATAACCGGGTATATTATGTGTTTTTGTAACACCTACATACCCGGGTATATCATAAGTTTGTGTAACACCTACATAACCGGGTATGTCAAGTGTTTGTATAACACCTACATAACCGGGTATATTATGTGTTTGTATAACACCTACATAACCGGGTATGTCATGTGTTTGTGTAACACCTACATAACCGGGTATGGCATGTGACAAGTGTTTGTGTAACCCCTACATAACCGGGTATATCATGTGTTTGTGTAACCCCTACATAACCGGGTATATTATGTGTTTGTATAACACCTACATAACCGGGTATATTATGTGTTTGTATAACACCTACATAACCGGGTATGTCATGTGTTTGTATAACACCTACATAACCGGGTATATTATGTGTTTTTATAACACCTACATAACCGGGTATATTATGTGTTTTTATAACACCTACATAACCGGGTATATTATGTGTTTTTGTAACACCTCCCTAACCGGGTATATCATGTGTTTGTGTAACTCCTAAATAACCGGGTATATCATGTGTTTGTGTAACACTTACATAACCGGGTATATTATGTGTTTGTGTAACCCCTACATAACCGGGTATATCATGTGTTTGTGTAACGCCTACATAACCAGGTATGTCATGTGTTTGTGTAACACCTACATAACCGGGTATATTATATGTTTGTGTAACACCTACATAACCGGGTATGTCAAGTGTTTGTATAACCCCTACATAACCGGGTATATTATGTGTTTGTATAACACCTACATAACCGGGTATATCATGTGTTTGTGTAACACCTACATAACCAGGTATGTCATGTGTTTGTGTAACACCTACCTAACCGGGTATATCATGTGTTTGTGTAACTCCTAAATAACCGGGTATATCATGTGTTTGTGTAACACTTACATAACCGGGTATATTATGTGTTTGTGTAACCCATACATAACCGGGTATATCATGTGTTTGTGTAACACCTACATAACCGGGGATATCATGTGTTTGTGTAACACCTACATAACCAGGTATGTCATGTGTTTGTGTAACACCTACATAACCGGGTATATCATGTGTTTGTGTAACACCTACATACCTGGGTACAGCTCCTGAATGAACTCCTCTAGTTCCTGGCGGATATCCTCTCTTTCTTCATACTCCTCTTCCTTCACGCCAAAGTCTTCTACAAAAATTAACAATGACAAATACTGTAGATACAAAATAACCTTGACATCACATCCATTGAAACAACTTGAATATTCACAAAAGTTTGCTTCCAAGCCTACTGAGTTAAAAATTACATATTTCTACAGTAATTTCACACTTACTTGGAACTTTTTTGATTGTATTAGTTAGATTTCTCAGGAAATCTTTGGTCATTTTTGGCAGTGGTTTGAGATCAGGGAGGGCCTCTTCAGGACAAGAATTTTTTAGATGGCCTTCCTTCTCACAGATACTACAGATGATCAAAGGGCCCTGTACACGAAACGTTTTACTGATCACAGCGATACAAATAATAATATTCAACATTTGATGTAGCATCCTATCTAGCTACAATTAGCTACTCTAAAGTGTGTTACAGTACATCAATATACAACTCATATACAATCAACACAATGTAACCAACAAGTACAGTTTAAAGATTTCACAGGAGCTGCCTTATCCGGCTCTTACTACTAGCCCTACAAGTTGGATATGTACATATTTATTTTTTCGTGTATTTGAGAGGTTTTTACGTCCTCTTCACTACCGAGTAATTCAGTTATCCGGCAGACGGATATTCATGCTTTAAACATGTTTACATAGTGCGCATGCCACCTCACTTGAATGCTACAGCACAAACACTGCAAGACCCACCCCAGACCATTTTAAGTCAGTTCAAGTCTGCCTGATGGAACCTTAACACAGCCATACAGAGACCTAGAAGCTGTATTGAACGTTCAAATCTGCCCAAAATGCTATATGTACAGTAGCTCGCATTGGTTGGACAGCTCGAGATAGCTGTAAGAATGTCGTAGCCAATAATAGGCCAGCACATACAGCTATATAAACCATATTTAAAGTTTACCGAGACATACCAACGATTAGCTGAGACCTATTCCTGAAGTACATTTCCTCTGAGTTTTTATTTATAACTAAACTTGCCTTTGGTACAATTTAAGAAGGGGTTGAAATGCCTGATCAGATAATAAGAGACCAGGAGATATTTCATTTCAAACTGGGTTAAAAATGGAACAATACTGTTGTTGGTAAGGGCTATCACAGAAATATTTCAGCAAGACTTTTGCATATCTGTACATATATATAGAACTTCAGATGGTAAAATATGATAAAAGCCAACAAAACTGACACCAGAAGTCAACTGCGGTTACACTTTTAAAATGAGGCTGCAGCAATAATTATAGGTAATAAATAAGTTACCTTGGTCATGATAATTATATTCTGCTTTCGCAACATGATAAGGAAAAAAATTCATCAATGTTAACTGCTTACCTTACCATCAGTGAACTTTTTCTCCAAAAATTCAAAACCATACTCAAGATTGTTCAGTGTTGTTTTTGAGTCCTGACTGTTATTTTCAACAGCTGGAGTACTCTCCACCTCCTTTGAATCCACAGTTGCTTCCCTTGAATCTGACTCGTCTTCTGATTCAATCTCCTGATTGACGTTTAAAGACTCATCTTTTGAATCAACCAACTCCTCCTTTGTATTTGCCATTGTCTCCTGTGAATTTTCTTTGGTTTCACAAACATTTTGACCATCAAGCACCAATTTTTTGCATTTTTCAGCTAAGATATCTTCTTCTGTAACAGCAGTGTCAGGTGGCCTGGCACTTTTGTCTTTTTCACCCTTCAGAGTCAATTCTGATAATGTTTCCACCAATGAGTCTTTGGCAAGTTGTTCTGAGGCGGCTTCAGAAGGAATGTCTGGGGATTTCTGATAAGACTGTCCGTTGTCACTACCACATGTGTCACAGCTGTCGACTAATTCCACCTTTTCCGTTTGAGACATTTGTCCTGATATACCCGTGTCTGCCATCGACGGATCACAACTACAATGACTGTCTGGTTTAGAGTCTGTATCACTTCTCTCTGGTGACTCTTCTCGGTCATTTTTCACAGAATCCTGGGCAGGTTTTGAGAAATCCAGCTGTTTACAAGTACTGCTGGAGCTTTCCTTTTCCTCCTTATCTTCTGCCTTTCTACTGCTTCCTTCTTCTTCCAATTCCTCCTCCGAGGATCCTAATATCACAACGTCGGAGTTGTCTCCAGATTCCTCCTCAGCTTCATCAACAGCTGTTTTGTTTTCTTCATCACTTTTCTTTTTGTTTGCCTTCATTTGTTTTTCTTTTTGCTCCTTCAACTTTGCCTCTTTAGCCAGTCTTTCTTCTTCAGCCTTGACCTTGAGCCTGGTCTTCTCCAGAACATCTTTTTGCTTGGCTGTGAGCTTATCGTAGTTTGTGGGCAGGCTGAAGTAGAAGTAAGACTTTCTGAAGCAATCCCAGATATACTGGAATACCTCATAGTTTGTCACAGAACGAGCAGCATTTCTCTTGTGGGAAAACGGATCTGAGGAAACAGAACATATTCTTTTTTCTTACACAAAACAGAATCTTTAAATATCACTTATTCATCAATTGTGATTCAAAATTTGTCATGAATTTAACAGAAGTTACTGAACAAACCAATGCATGATCAATCCTTGATCATTGCGAAAAATTAAATACTATGATAAACAGGGCATCACAAATGATATGAAACCCTATACATTGAGGTATGGCCACACTAAAAACTTGTAAGGACATCCAAAAATTTCTGTTGGAAAGAAAGGATGGTTATAACTAAAATTTCCTAAACATTAAAAAAAATGACCTTCACATTGCACTTTGAAATCTTTTTTGAGTTCTGTCATTAAATAAGTGGTACACAATTGTAATGGGATAATCAGTGATACACCGATGTAATGGGATAATCGGTGATACACCGATGTAATGGGATAATCTGTGATACACCGATGTAGTGGGATAATCGGTGTAAAAGTAATGGGATAATCGGTGTATGTAATGGGATAATCGGTGATACACCAATATAACGGGATAATCAGTGATACACCGATGTAGTGGGATAATCGGTGATACACCGATGTAACGGGATAATCAGTGTATATGTAATGGGATAATCAGTGATACACCAATGTAGTGGGATAATCAGTGTATATGTAATGGGATAATCGGTGTATTGTAACGGGATAATCGGTGGTATATGTAACGGGATAATTGGTGATACACCGATATAGTGGGTCAATCGGTAGTGGGATAATCGGTGATACACTGATGTAACGGGATAATCAGTGATACACCGATGCAACGGGATAATCGGTGATACACCGATGTAGTGGGATAATCGGTATTGGGATAATCAGTGATGCACCGATGTAGTGGGATAATAGGTGATACACCCATTTAATGGGATAATCGGTGATACACCGATGTAACGGGATAATCAGTGAAACACCGATGTAACAGGATAATTGGTGATACACCGATGTAACGGGATAATCGGTGATACACCGATGCAGTGGGATAATCGATGATACACCAATATAGTGGGATAATCGATGATACGCCGATGTAGTGGGATAATCGGTAGTGGGATAATCAGTGATGCACCGATGAGGAGGGATAATAGGTGATACACCCATTTAATGGGATAATCGGGAATACACCGATGTAACGGGATAATCAGTGCAACACCGATGTAACAGGATAATTGGTGATACCCCGATGTAACGGGATAATCGGGGATACACCGATGTAACGGGATAATCTGTGATACACCGATGTAACGGGATACTCGGCGATACACCGATGTAGTGGGATATTCGGTGATACACCTATGTAACGGGATAATCAGTGAAAAACCGATGTAACAGGATAATTGGTGATACCCCGATGTAACGGGATAATCAGTGAAACACCGATGTAGCAGGATAATTGGTGATACACCGATGTAGTGGGTTAATCGGTAGTGGGATAATCGGTGATACACCGATGTAACAGGATAATCGGTGATACACCGATGTAGTGGGATAATCGATGATACACCGATGTAGTGGGATAATCGGTAAAACACCCATTTAATGGGATAATCGGTGATACACCGATGTAACGGGTGAATCGGTGATACACCGATGTAGTGGGATAATCGGTGTATATGTAATGGGATAATCGATGATACACCAATATAGTGGGATAATCGATGATACACCGATTTAGTGGGATAATCGGTGAAACACCCATTTAATGGGATAATCGGTGATACACCAATGTAACGGGATAATCGGTGATACACCGAGGTAACGGGATAATCGGTGTATATGTAATGGGATAATCGATGATACACCAATAAAGGGGGATAATCGATGATACACCGATGTAGTGGGATAATCGGTGAAACACCCATTTAATGGGATAATCGGTGATACACCGATGTAACGGGATAATCGGTGATACACCGATGTAACGGGATAATCGGTGTATATGTAATGGGATAATCGGTGAAACACCAATGTAGTGGGATAATCGGTATGTAACGGGATAATCAGTGATACACCGATGTTACGGGATAATCAGTGATACACCGATGTTACGGGATAATCGATGATGCACTGATGTAATGGGATAATTGGTAGTGGGATAATCGGTGATACACCAATGTAGTGGGATAACCGATGTAATGGGATCATGATAGTCACCTTCAATAGCAACTCTCTTTGTATTCCATTTCTTTTGAGACCTGGTGAGGAATTCCTCATGCCGTAAGGATACCACATACTGGCTGTTGTCAAACTCCAGGCAGTAGAATCGAAGCATGTCAAGCCACAGGGCCCCCACACTCTTAGTGTTGTCTGTATGCCATTTCCCAGCCTGCACATGGACAAAATAGGAACCAGTTTAGTTTAAGACAATTGTTGTGGGTTTTAAACAACAGGAAAGAGGCAAATATATGTAAAGATTACTATTTATCACACCTAACAAGCTTGATATATGTCCCACTCTGACTGTAAATTAATTCTCCTTCATGTTATTTTGTGTCATAGAAAATCTACTCTCACAGCTGAGACACTGAGCCTTTAACAACTGCTCATAAAAGGATTTTATTTGTGAATTATTGATATGAATAATTGAGTTTACTCATAGTATAATTTGATTTTTAATATCATCAACAAAAGTGTGGATGATTAAATTAAGAGAAGTCAAAAATTGTTTATGGATTGACAACGAAGGACAAAAGACAAGTGGAATAGATAGATTTCATCTCAGGTGACCTAAAACACAAAGAAGTGGAATTTTTACTCGAATGTCCAGATAAATTACATATTAACCTCTTCTTTGATCCTGGTAAAGTTGGCTTCCTCTGGAGGAGGTGTCCTTTTCCTCTTGGTAGGCGACTTATTCTCATCATCATCAAGGCCCTGATTTTACAAAAACACATTACATATATACATACATAATGTGATTTTTCAATACTGTCAGACAGAAAACACAAAAAACGAGAAAATATCAGGACAGTAATCACATGTTTTACCAGATATTACAGTGGACATACAAACAGGGGAAAATGACAAAATAATAATTACATGGTTTTTATCAGGCCTTACAGAACACACTCAAAAATATCTGATCATGTAAAGAACTCAAGATTATCCATTGTTATAAATCTCGTCATTTGCAAACAATAAAACAATAACTTGACTTCATTTAACATTATTATATACATATGATGTAGCATTCAAATAAAATGAATTGTTAGACTGTTAAAACTACCAGCCTAATCACTATTTAGAATCTGTTCTTGAATCAATACAAGAAATATCGTTCAATAGCAGGCTTTGATTAATTGAAATGCAGGAAAATAATTCTATGAAATGTTCAGAAAATTCAACGATTTACCAAAGTCCTCCCTAAAGACAAAATGTTTAACATCTTGGTGTAGCTTATTACTAATGACAAATGACAAAGACTTACCAGATCAAGCACGGGAAGTACGGCTGGTTTACACTTCTGTAGATAATGCACAAGCAATAGGGAGAAACTGTAGGCTGGTAGTGTCCCCTCGTCTTGTCTGTCTATCTTACAGATCTGATAACAAAAACACAAAAATACAGTAGGCAGGTAGAGTCTCCACTTCTAGTGTGTCTATCTTACAGATCTTATATACACAAAAAGGAAATTTTCTCACACAGTGGAGTACACAACCAGAGAAGGCTGATATCTCTCCTCAAACTACAAAATCATCTACAATGATACTTTTTGAAGGACAATACTTCTAGTCAAGCCATAAAACATTCCAGGAAATAGAAGTTGATTTAAAGTTTTCAAGTTTGCAGTGAATTTACACAAACGACATTTCCATTTTATGAGTCCTACCTTAGCAAAGTATCTGAACACGATTCCCAGCTTTCTGACCCTAGGGTCAATATCTGCAAAGATGGAAAGCAGAGTGGACGTTTGTGGGGCCTGGGATCCAGTTATGGTCAGCTGGCAAGACAATGACCCGGTCTGGTCAGAAAAGTAGATACAAGGAATTTTAGCTGCGAAATCACTCCTCACTTCTTTGTAGTTTTCTGTGAATGTAAAAAGTAGTACATTGTAATTAAACTATGTGTTTAATGATCTACTTTATCTGGTACATGTGCAATATTTGTTATTTAAGAAATATCTACGAAATTATTACGCAAACACAAAAGCATCTCCATAACAGTATTCTAACTTTCAGAGAAGCAAGCAAACTTTTCTTACATGATAAATGAATTCAATTTTATTCGCCGTTTCTTCTTCTCAAAATGTCTGTTCGTGGTTAAAACTCTGATGATACCCACTGTATTCACTAATCATCCAAATTATCTTGTAATGACAATATTATATTTCCAGTAATATTAAAAGTAAAATTCCAGCAAGCTTAAACTGTAATTAATAGGTGAGCTACACTGCCAACCCTTGCTATTTAGGAGGGAGACTCCCAATCTTGGACCCTTAAATTCAGTATTACCAACCAGTGAATTTGCTAACCTATTTCTATGTTCTCAGATCTTATGATTTCAACTGAAAGGGCAACTCAAAATATGTCATTTTAAAGGATTATTCTGTCTGTAGGGTGGATAAACACACATTTTATTTATGTTTTTTTTTTTAAATTTTGAGCCCATGGAATCACCCCAATGGAAAGCTCACAAGTATGCTAACATCTGAGTTACAATACAGATATATAAAGGTGAGTGATATATGGGATTCAAGTTACACGAAACACAGGCACAGATGAGTGCTGACCTGAATCTTTCATGTCTTTGAAAGCCTTAGTAAGGGACTTTGCCTGACTTGTATCTCCCTTCACCAAAAGGTCCATGTTGACATCACAGTCCTTCAGTGCGATCCCAGTCTTTGACGATCCGTACAGCACAACACTGACCTCTGAAAATATCAAACGAGAAAAACTCTCAAATTCTATTTATCTATAGCTGCATCCATTTGTAAACGACTCTAATTTTAAACTCAATTCAAACCATAGCAAAATATATTGATGTTATTTATTAACAAGTTAACAACCGAAATATTCTGACTAGCTTCGGTCATGATAATTACTTGTTATTTCAACTCTTTGTAACTGAAACCTTTTTGTTTTATTAATTTGGATATTAAATGAAATTATTTCTGTGTCCATTGATATATATTTCCTGTCCAAATGGACGATTTATCTTTAAATACTACAACTGTTACCATGGTGACTGGATGTATACCTAGAACAGTAAATAGTTTTATAAATGATACCTTATGTGTTTCATTGATATCTCATTGACTGACTTACTAGTTAACAATCTTTTTCCAATCGAAATGGACGTACACTCATTTTGTAGCTATGATATCCATACCTGGTTGTGTTTTGCGGAGAAACTCCTCAAGTTCAACGGTGACCTTGACCCTGTAGTCCTGATCCTCCTTTTGGAGGGCGTGTTGGAGGAGAATGTCGTCTGCCAGATGGTCGATGGCTTCCACCTGGTCTTCTCTCACCGCTGGCATCCTCTCCAGACATGTTTCAATTCTGCTAATCTATCAAAATATAGCAATGTTTCTGTTAAAACTACAAGTGAATAAATATGTAGATGTCATAAAAAAGAACCCAAACCTTCCTCTTTTCTCCAGCAACCACTATAGTTAAATTTTTTCTGACTCATTGGATAAACCTGCTAGGAGTTGGTTAGCATTAATTATTGGTTACCCACTAGCGGGTAACACCCTGGAGGTGATTTCATTGGTCGATCTCTTTATCAACAATGCTTTGTTACATCATCTTCCAGGATCATGACAAGTAATTCCCTGATCGGAAACAAGAATAATGTATTCCTAGGAGGAACATTTATTTTCTAGATTTAACATCTGAACGTCTTTATACAATTTGAAAATGAACTAACTCAGTTACCAATTTTATCATCTCTAATGTAATTTTGAATATGAATGTAAATGTTGCAGAAATATATATGTTACCAATAGCAGCATTAAGATTTGTAACACTCCAGCGCGGTATATACCTCTATTCTTCGTTTGTGTCGGCTGTCCTTCATGTGCCGGTCACAATCTGCCGGTGTGTCCATGTGATAATCACACAGGCGACAAAAGAATTTGGCTTGCACAAATCGTGTAGATTTCTAAAATAAAATTAAAAAAACAACAACATTATTTTCATTTTTATCTAGGATAATAATGAAATAATAATCAAAAAAGACTACTAATATAAATTTATTTCTTGATATTACTTAATTTATGTTCCAAATGATTAAATTCACAATGATTTGAACAAGATCAGTTCCCTTTCTTATGTTTGTATATAAAATTATCTCCCATATTAGTTAGACAAGAATTATGCGTAATTATATGTGTCGCCTGTCCCGCTTTGTCAATATAATAAGCCTTTGACATAGTACATAAGGAAACGGACCTAAACGCAAAATCATAACATTGATTTTTTTTAAAGTCCAGAAATTTCAGGTTTTTATCCGAAAAAGTGCAGAAATCCATGAAATGTTTTCAGAGTAGTAGGCTCTACTACCCATGATACATGTATGATTGAGGTTTGGTTGGTCTAGCTCTTATACTTTGTCAGAAAGAGCCTAATATGCAAGAGCTAAACGCAAAACCTTAACGTTGAGTTTTTTTTTTTAAGTCCAGAAATTTGAGGTTTTTAGCAAAAAATACAGAAATCAATGAAATGTAGCTTGGTCAGAAACAGAGCTAAACGCAAAACCTTAACTTTGTTGACGCCACCGACGTCACCGTCGAAAAAGCAGCGCCTATGTGTCTTTCCGACATCCGTCGTAGGCGACACAAAAACCACCAGGCAGTGTTTAACATATGACTTAATCTAATGTATAATTCCTGTTACCAAAATAGATGCCACACAAACCTTTTTCAGGGGAAATATTCCGTCTTCTTCTAATCTCTTCAGTAATTCAGCCTGTGATTGTGCCTGTGTTGCCTCCAGCTTTACAACTAAAAACGCGAAAGAAAACAATGAATGGTTTAAAAACGATCCATTTTAATCTGAACATAATGAGAGAGAATTTTAACATAAAATAAGTCAATATTTACCATGAAACAAGTAAATAGGTCCAGAAGTTAACCCTAAATCACATCAAATACCGGTATATAGTAAAGAACAATCAACTTAGAATATAATTACTGATATAGGCATCTGGGGATCCTCTATATATAGATCTGATCACTTATCAGAACACTGTACATACATGACAAGGTGTTATATCTGCTGGTATTATTTATGACACATAACACTTTGAGATGTCACCTATATGTACATACATGACAAGGTGGTATATCTGCTGGTATTATGTATGACATATAATACTTTGAGATGTCACCTACATGTACATCCATGACAAGGTGTTATATCTACTGGTATTCTGTATGACATATAACACTTTGAGATGTCGCCTACATGTACATACATGACAAGGTGCTATATCTGCTGGTATTATGTATGACATATAATACTTTGAGATGTCACCTACATGTACCACCTACATGTACATACATGACAAGGTGTTATATCTACTGGTATTCTGTATGACATATAACACTTTGAGATGTCACCTATATGTACATCCATGACAAGGTGGTATATCTGCTGGTATTATATATGACATATACATCTATAACACTTGGGGATGTCACCTACATCAGACATGTACATGCATGACAAGGTGTTATATCTGCTGGTAGTATCCATGACATATAACCCTTGGGGATGTCACATACATGTACATACATGACAAGGTGGTATATCTGCGGGTATTATATATGACATATACATCTATAACACTTGGGGATGTCACCTACATGAACATACATGACAAGGTGTTATATCTGCTGATATTATGTATGACATATAACACTTTGAGATGTCTCCTATATGTACATACATGACAAGGTGTTATATCTGCTGGAATTATGTATGACATATAACACTTTGAGAAGTCACCTACATGTACATACATGACCAGGTGTTATATCTGCTGATATTATGTATGACATATAACACTTGGGGATGTCGACTACATGTACATACATGACAAGGTGCTATATCTGCTGGTATTATGTATGACATATAATACTTTGAGATGTCACCTACATGTACCACCTACATGTACATACATGACAAGATGTTATATCTGCTGGTATTATATATGACATATACATCTATAACACTTGGGGATGTCACCTACATCAGACATGTACATGCATGACAAGGTGTTATATCTGCTGGTATTATCTATGACATATAACCCTTGGGGATGTCACCTACATGTACAAACATGACAAGGTGTTATATCTGCTGGTATTATTTATGACATATAACACTTTGAGATGTCACCTATATGTACATACATGACAAGGTGGTATATCTGCTGGTATTATGTATGACATCTAACACTTGGGGATGTCACCTAAATGTACATACATGACAAGGAGGTATATCTGCTGGTATTATGTTTGACATATAGCGCTTGGGGATGTCCCCTCCATGTACCTACATGACAAGGTGGTAGATCTGCTGGTATTATGTATGACATATACCACTTGGGGATGTCCCCTACATGTACATACATGACAAGGGGTGATATCTGCTGGTATTATGTATGACATATAACACTTGGGGATGTCACCTACATGACAAGGTGTTATATATGCTGGTATTCTCCTGTAATTAAATCAGCACTGAAGATTTGCAGTATGAAAAGTGCTCAGAAAACGATGGCTAATGTTACTGCTAAAATCTGGTACATGTACAACACTCTTACAGTATATAGGGAAACCGAAAAAGCAATGTGACCAATACTTCTCATTTATTAGTTCCATTTTGATGTTGCATGCTCAGTAATGTACACTGTATATATATTTATGTACATGAACACAATTATGAGACCAAGCAAAACTGGATACTTTTTAAGTGTGTTTGGTGAGATATTTTAAAGTTGTAATTACATTAGTTTGAATTGGCATGTCTCACTCAAATATTTGAAACTAAAAATAAGTTAAAATTTGTATTTACCTTTCTTGACCTCTGGTTCGGTACGTTCGTCCTTACTTGCACTGCTTTTGGACTTCTTTTCCGCCTCCTTTTTTTCCTTTGGCTTTGGTTGGCTTTCTGATGTATCATGATCATCTCCTTCTGATTTCATTTGTGCAGCTTTTAGTGCCTCAGCTTTTTTCTTTTTAATTTTCTTTTTCTTTTCTTTCTTAACAGGCAGGTCCCAAAACTTCTTGACTGCTTCCTCAACCGGTTTGTTTTCTACATCTTCCTCATGCATGTTACCATCACGCTCCTGCTTTTGATCTGATGTCACGTCTTCGTCACCTTGCGATTTCCGTGTGTGTCTTTTAGCTTTCAAAATCTTCCTAACTTCACTTTCGCCCGCTGATACGTAACTCACTGAAGACTGCAGCTCGTGGTTACTGAGGGAAGCTTTAAGGTCCGACAAACTTTCAAAGCTTACTTCAGATAATACTTTACTTTCACTCGCTTGGTTGTTGGAATCCATAACTTTGCTCCGTCTTTTTCTGGTCTTTTTGCTTCCATCTTCCTGGTTTTTCTCGTCTACTGGAGAATCCAGTGACGTTTCAGTGGCAGCCTCAGTTGGTGTCTCAGACTCTGTACCCTTGCCATCTATCTGTTGAGTTGGATTTTCACTACTTGGTGGTATGGCAATATTAGATGCAGAGTCAATATCTGGTTTCTTGAAGTTCAGTAGTGACTTAATTCCTAACTCAATTTCTTGAGTTGAGAGTTTGTTGAAATCTGCCATCTCACATAGTATCACATCTCTCGGTAATCTTTACTTCCATCCATTTGGTTTCTATCCTTAGAAAAATAAAAAATAAACATATTTTTCATCATTTCTCATTGAAATATAGGCTTATATAGAAGTATGATAAAGTGTCAACTTTACTAGTAATATTAATTGTATGATGTTATAGAGATGTATGGGATCTTCCAAAAGTAAAAAGGAACTGAGTAGTTATGAATGAAGAATACATGTCCATATTTGGCATCTTTTATATAAAATTAACTTGAACAAGAGATAAAAAAGAGATATCAAGCTACCTTTTTATTTCTATCTCAAACCCTTTAACAGATCTTGTTTGTATTCTGAGACACATAGAGGGCCATATTATAACATTGATCTTGCAACCCTTTGATGTTATTGAAACACTCCAAAAACTGCCAAATTCACTATAAAAATTCTTGCAGTAATATGGTGCCAAATATGATGTGACGATAAATTAGTACAGATCAATGTGTTTGATCTGTCAATGGAATCTTCCAGTCCAATTTATACATCATTTTTTTGGGCTGCAAATTTGAGAAAAGGAACATACTTTCCTCTCAAAGTGTAAAAAATGTATGCACCAAAATATGTATTTAGCATACACCAAAACATATGCATTATCACATTTCAATAGAGAATATTACTATATATATAAACTGCTTCAATTGATTTTAAATATTTTCCTTGAAGAAATGAAGCATCAATTTTACAGAATCTGGGATCTTTGCATATTTAATGCATCTTTTAACTATATATGGTCATGTCTATTTGATCACGACCCTTCAGGTGATAACTGCAGGATATTGTAATAACTTATGATTAACGTAATGTCAGGCCAAAGGGTCATATTGATAAAGAAAACACTGTCAAACTATATAATTCCATTATTTGAGTGCCACAATCGCTAGCTCTCACACTCTCTCTAATGTGTTATTAATTATAAATATAAAGACATTGAGTTGACAAAGAGAACAACAGCTCAAAAGACTGAATAGGTTATATAAACCCCATTTCCCCAGTAGAACTCGTTCTGAGGGGCGTTTTTGCTTCTGAGTATACATATATGAAAGAAAGATCTACAAACAATGTTTCAGCCAATATAATTATGTAGCGGAACCCGAATGGGTCATTCTGAATTAATTGAGAACCAGGAATCTTGTTGCAATATCTGGGTGAAGTCTTGGCAAGGGGATGTCTGGACCTACGTGCCGACGTACAGGTCCAGATCAATTGGTCAAGAGTCTCTACAGTTCGAAGTTCGAATCCCGGTTTTGCCGTGCATTTGTCCGCTCTCCTGTTAAAACGTTTTCTGTCATAGATGTAGGCCCTATTTTCAAGTTAAGTTAACCACATAGAAAAAAAACAGGTATGCCAAGAACTATCTACGATCTTTACAGTGCCTACTGTATCTGAAGAAGAAGAATGCTAGTGTCTAAATCGAAACCAAAAGTCGGCAATTACAAATTACCGTATTGCAAATACAGGAAGATACAACCTTGACATCATAAAAACAAGAACTCTTCCTGACATACAATTAAAATGCAATGAACGAACAACACGCTTCCAAAAAACCCATAAGCACACAAAAGCAGTCTACGAGTCTACCTGCTCAAATTCAAAACATGGACGCTGCCATTTTGAATGTTGCATTATGGAAATTATTTCACTGTTTTATATTTTTTTCTTTATTAACTATTACAATTGTTATATCATATTTTTAGATTATTCAATTAATTATCCGGTGAAAATCTCTGTCATTAGACGAAAATAAAATTATATGATTCCTGTTACCGAAGGAACGGGAGTTCAGAGTGACATTATGGCGGCTTTCATGAAAAGTTGACATAATAACACGAGAATGTAAACTTATGTAAAATCAAGTAACTGATAGCTACCCCGAGCATGTTTCGCACTGCCGGTTACTATCGTGGTGTGAATTGTCCATACTTTGCCAGCGGACTTTGTGAACGCCCGCATTGTCACTTCAGACACGTCAAACAAGATCAGAATGAAGGTAGAAAATTAAATGATAAACAAAAAAGTAGACCCGTTGTAATTAATCACGCCACTCGTGTCTTCATTGCCAGGAAGTTTAAAGGCATAAGAGTGGCATTTATAAAAGCTTGATCATCTGAACAAATGATCTAGACAAATCGTAAGAGCCTATGGTGATTATTAACAAGTCTTGCAAAAAGAAAAACAATCGTAAATAAGACGGGTAAATTGTTCACTTTCTCCAAAATAATGGCTTTTCCTACAGACTAAGACGTTTTGGAAACTTTTGTCACGTGTTTCTTACTCAGATTGATGAGCAAGATAAGTGTAGGCTTCTTTTCACTCTCTTTAGGTATCACGGATACTGTTTTTAATTTATGTGTATAATATATTTATATATATATATAAGAGAAGGAGAAATGCACGGCTAGACCATGTGACCATGTTTCGAACCCGGGACCCTCCGAACTCTAACCAACTGATCTTTCTGGTCATCAGGATTGACATAGTACAGTTCTGCTTCTTTCCTCTCCCCTTTTTATAAATCTTCACCCCAAAAGACACAACTATTTACCACCCAAATTTGATAATCCCCTTAATTGCCAAGCATTCAACCAGTGCTTGAAACAAGGGTTGGCAAGCTCAACAACTTTGTTGTAGGAGAACGAGAAATGCATGGCCAGACCAGGTTCAAAACTGGGTGCTCCAACCCTATACAGAATTAAAAGCTCTTTTACCAATTGAGCTTCGATTCTTGTTTAGTTCTGCTACAGGTTAATTGAGATACTTGACAAGTAGTACACTTGTCCAGTTCACCATGAGCTATAGGTGAATTGGGTAGCTATTCGTGGCAGGTTTTAATTGTACATTGGATTACAGTCACGTTCTTGCTTAAGCCTAGGCCTCGGCTCAGTAAGTTAGAGCAGCAGACTTGGAAGCGAAGGGTTGCTGGTGTGATCCCTGGTGGACATCCTATTATATAGTCTCTTTCCTGTTGCAAATGACACTTCCTTTTAGTTTGGTGACAGGCTATAGCTAGGGTCTGTTTTCTTTAATGCTGTTTCAAATAGTTCGACCGAAGTTGTTCTTTACGAAAAAAGTGATGGACCTAGTAATATAATATGATGGTGCTTTCTAGCAAGCCTTGGAAAAATCTTTCAAGGCCGCTGGTTCAATCCCCACTGGAAGTTCTATTAACTGATGCATACAGAAAAAGATACATCTGGGATGAATTCAAACCAGGAATCTTGACAACTGATCTACTGACAGTTGATCTATCACCTGAGCTACTTTGTAATCATAAGATATCAGTGATTGAACCAGGCTGTATATGTCTGGTTCAATTTACCTCTGGTCTATATTTGAGGTCTTTGCCTCTGAACATGCATAGACAGATTTAGTGGGTTGCATGATGCCCTCCCTTAAATAGCATTGGTATTTTGGAGATTATTTACCTTAAAAATGACCTAACTATGTACATGTATCCCCATCCTCTAATATAACATGTGGGACATACATGTACATTCTTGTTATAATATTGGAAGTGAGGGCCATCTGACCTCTGACAGAAATGTGCTCTAATAGCTGAAAACATCAGTTGTTTTACTATTGACAGATTTTTTTGTAACACTGAAAATATCTATACATTTTGTAAGAATTAAAGCACACATGCATGTAGAGGCATACATATAGAATGTTACAGGAAATACAGTCCCAAATAAATCAAGCCAACTTCTACACGATCATCATGATAATGTTCATTCCTGCAAATTTTTGGTCTCCTGCTTCCTTTAACTGATCAAGATTCCATGAAGTTGTAGTTTATACTTGTAATGATAATTTCTGATGTAAATGTGATGTTCCAATATATTACAGAAATATATTCCACAAATCATTTTAATAACCCGAAGAAGCTCTAAAACAGTCAATTTCATTCAAAGACTTGGTCAGTCTGTAATATGGTTACATAGAAAATTACTGCTGTTGACATCACAATACCTCAGAGAGGCTTCTTTCTTATCCTAAAATATTTCTCCAGCTATTGTTAGAAATTCTTGAAATCTGGAACTATTGAAACAGTGCTGTTGTCAAAGTCGATCTCTGTATTGCTTTCAGATCTGAATAGCAGGCCAAAGACTCCAACTCCCTCAAAAGATGCAAGCTCATATTTGGAGAAGCTCTCTGATGGACAATTCCCATTGACCAGTGAATCTATCAAGTCCTACTCCAAGGATAATGATGTGGACGTTGATGAAGAGAAATCTAACAATCACCAAATTCTTAACAAATATACAGGTGAACCCATAATCAATGAGAAAAGTGAATGTTATGAGTTGGGACCAAATATAAATGAAGTCAATAAATACACGGGGAAACCTGTGGAGTACAACAAATACACTGGAGAACCTATTTATCATAAAGAGGATAGTTCATCGTCATCTCTGAACAAACGATGGACAGAGGCGGTGCTTGGGAGTGACACCCCAACCTATAATCCTACTCCATTAAGTGAATTACAGAAGAGAAACGCAAATCCAAATCTGAACAAATATTCATTGTTGGCAAGTACTATCTCTTCCAGCCAAGAGTATGATCCCGAATCAAACTACTCCACCTCGACCAAAGTCCACCACGTGTCCGTTCCACAGGTTGGCCGTCCCTCCTACAGCAGTAAGAGGTCCTGTAGCTATGATCCTGCAAATGTCAAGTATAAAAAACCGGTTCTCAAAAGACAACGTGTGGCTTCATTCTTTGATGCAAAATTTAGTTCAGACGAAGAAGAAGAAAATAAAAATGTTGAAAAAGATGGAAAAGATGAAAAAACAGTTTCAAGTGATAAGGAAGACAAATTTCATCTGAAGGATGTCAATTACTTTGAGAAACTTTTAGATGGACCCAAGGATGTGGATGAAAAGAAAAGTCGTGTTAAGGTTGAAAGTGATGATTCCTTGGATTCTCTGGATGAAGATGTGGATGTCACACCGTTACTTGAAAAGTGTCGAAGACGTTCACAGTCTGGGGGAAACGAACAGGACAGTACAGAGGAGAAAACAGATGTTAAATCCAAAGTCTCCAATGTAGATACAGGGGACAGTTCCTCTTTACACTCTAAAACAGAAACCGTCTCTAAGAAAGGCAAAGAAAGCTCTGATTTAACTGATAAAAAGACAAAGAAAAAATCCACAGCTGAATCGGTCCCCAGTACTGGTGACAAAAATGACAAATCTACTGAAATTTGTGATAGAAATGACAAGAAAAATCATATTGCTTCGTCATCACATTCAAAATCTTCCCATCATGGATCAAATAAATCACAGAAGGAAACTTCATCATCAAAAATATCTCAGGGGAACGGGATTTCAACTCATAAATCAACTAAGGAGTCATCGAAAAATTCCCAACCTGGGACTAGTAATTCATCTCACAAATCTTCAAAGGAGTCGTCATCGAAATCCTCACATCATCACAAAACCGAATATAGCAAATCTTCACATAACAGTGATAAGAGCTCACACCACTCTTCATCGAAAAAGCCTCATTCAAGCACATCGTTATGTAAGGTCAAGGACAAAAGCAAATCCCGAGATTCACAAGACAGCAAATCGTCAGAAACTGAAAATCACCTTGTGTGTGATACTGACAAGTCAAACGATTTATCAAAATCATCATCATCTTCATCATCATCAAATAATCATCGCAAACATTCACGACATTCAAATTCTGAATCATCGTCGTCATCTTCAGACAAACACCAGCATAATTCAGAAAGAGGTCACGATACAAATTCTGTTCACACTTCGTCACATAGCTCGGGGTCTAGTAAAGGTAGCAAGGACATGAAAAATAGAGCCAAACAAAAAGACGACAAGACTAGTAAAAACGATAAAAAGCGGACCAAGTCGGTGAGTTCTGAAAGGCGGAAGTCTTCAGAGACGATCAAGAAAAAGATTGTGGACATCAACATTGATCTTTTTGGTGCAAACAGTGAGGACGAGGAGGACGATGAGGATTTGGTGGAGGTGCCGATGGCGTCAGACGGACATATATCGGAGAGTGACATGGTGGCGTTTCTCAATGATAGTGATTACTCCGATGAAGACATTGACAGATATGATGAGTGTTTAAGAATCTTTCAGGAAAACAAAGGAGTAAAGAATAACACCAACAAAAAGGTATAGTACTAGCTAGTTCACACTTTTAAAAGTAAATGACATCTGGTAGAAAGCTTAAGGCTCATGCATCCTCAGGGTGATGATATTTTGCCTGCAGCATGCATGGGCGAATCAAAAGCTATTAGTTTTGTTCTATCCTGATTAACAATTCACAAGGTCAGATGTACAAGTGCTGAAAATTTTGAACAATTTCTTTTGAATAGCCGAGAGGCCTAGCTAGCTAGGCTGATCTTTAATTGACTAGTAAAGCATGCTGGGAAGAATGGCTACCAAGTTTCTTTTGAATAGCCTGGAGGCCTACATTGTAGCTAGCTAGGCTGATCTTTAATTGACTAGTAAAGCATGCTGGGAAGAATGGCTACCAAGTTTCTTTCGAATAGCCTCCAGGCCTACATTGTAGCTAGCTAGGCTGATCTTTAATTGACTAGTAAAACATGCTGGGAAGAATGGTTACCAAGTTTCTTTTGAATAGCCTGGAGGCGTACATTGTAGCTAGCTAGGCTGATCTCTAATTGACTAGTAAAGCATGCTGGGAAGAATGGCTACCAAGGTTCTTTTGAATAGCCTCGAGGCCTAACTAGCTAGGCTGATCTTTAATTGACTAGCATAGCATGCTGGGAAGAATGGCTACCAAGGTTCTTTTGAATAGCCTCGAGGCCTAACTAGCTAGGCTGATCTTTAATTGACTAGCATAGCATGCTGGGAAGAATGGCTACCAAGTTTCTTTAGAATAGCCTCCAGGCCTACATTGTAGCTAGCTAGGATGATCTTTTATTGACTAGTAAAGCATGCTGGGAAGAATGGCTACCAAGTTTCTTTCAAAAGAATAACCTTTATAGCTTTCCTTTAACAACCTATTTTCAATAACCAAAAGTCATGGGTTGATGATATTTGGGATTAAGGGCTATATACATGTACAGAGTTTGTTCAACTGAATGACCTCGCAAGACTTTCAAAGTCACTGGGGTCAAATGTGTTTAAATCTTGTATCAGATTGTTTTGAATAACCAAGAGTCAATATTAATGCAGAGGTAAGAATATTTAGCCTGTAGCTGCAGCTGTATTTAGGCTATTTAAGTGTTTTTGACCTTGGTCCACTTTTAAGCATTAAAGTGTATGATAAGTATCAAGTGATCACATGAATACTGTAGGCCCATTGGGCCTCTTTTCTAGTGTTTTAAATAAGTGTTATTTTTAACTTATTTGTGATCATCAGGCATACAATAAATGGCTGTCATTGTGTGGCCATTTTGAAACTTTTAACTGAAGAACGTTAATGCTGAAGCCAGGAAACGATATATCAAGTGATAGCATCTGTAGGCCTTTTGTTAACACTGGTATATATATATATATACTGTTACAGTGTTCAAGCTAAGTAATTAATGTAATATTTGGAATTAGATTCATTAAAAACAAAACAAAATTAGCATTTGTTAGTGTTCATGTATATACTGTAGATTTTATTGTCACATAAATTGAAAACTTCTGTGTGAAAGCTAAATAAATTAGTTGCTATGATATAATATATCCTCTGTGTATACGAACGGTATCAATATAATTGATGAATTTCATTGGGACTAATTGCAATTTCCCTCTACCATTTTCTTTGTCAGAAATCATCTCCAGAAAAATCTCATGATGCACAGAACCCATCAGCTCCTTCTGGCAAGCAACGTATGGCACACAAGAAAGAATCAGAGGTATACATACACTTCACTGAATATATTAGCTTTGTCCAGAAATATACAAGATGCAGTATACGATCGTTGGGCCCTGTTGTATAGATTGTGTGACCCTTTATGTGTAGATAATGAGATCATTTAATTTATTATTTTAGATTATGAGGAAACTAAAGGTGTTTGAGAAACCAAAGTCGAAGATGTCTCCGGCCGAAGTGATGCACAACCGTTTCCTCCAGATACAGGAGAAGGCTCGGAATGCTGCTGCTGCTGCTGCTACTTCAAATAATGGAACAGCCTCGTCCTCAACAGTGAGTCTACCATTATATGTCCTACTGATACGTATATTTCAAGAAACCTTTATTTAATATTCCAGCTGTCTTCCATGGTTCTGGAGCAAGTTACACGGTTCATACATGTACAGGCCATGAAAAGTGCTGGAATCAAGGACAGTGTTTGAAAATTAAAGAACGGTACATGTACTGAAAATAGGTGTTTTCTGGAAGCATGGACTGGAGACAACTACATACCATGTATTTTTTTCTAAGGTTTCAGGTGAGACCTACATGGGACGGTCGACTATTCCCTGTAGTGTAGTGCAGGGTTAATATGAAAATTTGTTAACAACTCGCTTGCCTTCAAGTATGCTTACATGTATATGAAAAAATACTCTGTTGTACTATCTCTATCAAGAATTTCCACAAGTCCATATATAGATTTACAATCAAAACTGACGGGAATAATTCATGTACAATTTGTATTTGTAACATGAAACCTGATTGATTAAATGCATTTGTTACCTATGCCAATCTTTTCTTCAGATTGTGTATAACGAATCGCGTTATATGTTGATGCAAAACATATATATATATAACTGTATACTGATTCTCTGATTGGCTATTTCTGCAAGCAGTATAGGTCTGTTCAATCAGAAAAGTATTGAAATTAATACACTTGGAATTTAAGCTGACTTAAATTGTACTTGATCAAGATTCTAGATAACAAGGGTCAAATGTATTAGTATCAACACACTCTGGACCGGGGAATCGTGTTTATCTTATAAAAACAATAGATATCAAGTTTGTCCAAATAAATGACCTTGACCCACTTTGGTCACTGGGGTCAAATGTGTGAAAAAGCTGAAACATAATTTTCTAAAGGTTCTCATAACCCAGGCCTTGAGTAGAAACATTAAACCTGTAGATTGCTATGATAAAAAGTTTGTTTGTCCAAATAAATGACCTTGACCCACTTTGGTCACTGGAGTCAAATGTATGAAAAAGCTGAAACAACTTTTTCTGCACGTTTTTGTATACTATAGGCATTGAGTAGGAACATTGACCTTGTAGCTTGCCGTGATAACTTTTTGTTCAGATAAGTGACAGTGCATTGATCAACTTAGAAAGTAGTGTTATCTTGCTTGCTATCAAATTTGTTTCAATTAAAACCTTTGAAAGTCAGAGATGTGCAATGCGTTTGCAAACAGGATTAAATGACAGGTGAGCAATGTTGGCCATTTCGGATTTTATTTGATTAGAATTTTTTTTTTTGTAAAAAGACAATAGTAGATAGTATTACAGTTATATTGCAAATTGTGTTCCTTTAAAATATTTGGTATAAATTAGTACAATCAGCTGATGCATGAATACATGCAGTTCCTGTATATACTGGAATATATTTTGTCAGATCTATATTTAGAATAGCATGCTGAAGTAAGCATATCTATATATTTAACATACAAATTACATACTGTATATTCTTTGTATGTGTAAAGTACAAAGTGTATGTGTATTAGAACTCTGGGTTATAAATAGCTTTGAGTTATATGTAAATTAGTACCATATATATCATTCAGCTGGTACATAGTTCCTGTACTCGGATATATTTTGTCAGATCTATTTTAAGAATAACATGCTGATGTCAGCATAGTCCCTCATAGATAGTCTTGATATTTAACATACTGAATGACTATTCTTTATACATGTATGGTAAACGGTGAATGTGTATTAATACCCTGGGCTATAAATAGATTTGAGTCATGAAGCCTTTGATCGGTGGTGCAATACCTGATATACCTGTGTAGTAGTATTATATACCTGTGTGTTATATCCTACCTGGTCTAGTGTGTCAGCCCACTGCAGACATCAGCTGTTACTGTGATAGGGCTGCCATGGATTTTCATGTAAATGTCATGTATGATAGTTACATATGACATGACAGTGTGAAAGTATGACTTAATCTTTTGTTAAAAAGGTCAATATTTTTGTTATAACAGTATTGGACAACTTCTACAAAATAAAAAAACATTTAATGCTATGATGGTTTTGGTGTTCAGTGTGAAAGGTTGAGGAAAAGGTGGGGTGCAGGGACAGGGGCGAGGGCAAGGAGGTGGTGGGGGAGCTATCACTAGTTAAAGTCCAACGATACTATTTTGGTCTTTTGCTAAAACAATGAATTTATTTGCAGGCAAAAACATTTATGCTGTCTGGGAGTAAAAAAAGGACTGCCCACAACCTATCTACCTCAAAAAGTAATGGAACCTCCACAGATAAAGCAGTTATCAGCACAGCATCGCGGACAGAAAAGAGGAAGGCACGCACCCCTCATGTTGTAAGTTATTGTACAGGAACATTCGTCACATTTAAAAATAAAATCATCAATCATATCTAAGGATGTATGCTATCTTACAACTTATACTTTGAATTTTTGTTGCATTCTTGTAAGTTTATTACCCAAATTGTATCTGCATACAATACCGGGTATCTTGTGTACCTTACAAATATGAAATAGAAAACAATTTTAATACTACTTATCATAAAGGATCCCTGTACCAATGCCAAAAATACTAACTATCCAATGGAAATTATTTCTAAGCTTGACTTGCTAACGCTTAAGCTTTAATAAATCATTTCTGAAAAGATTAAGGGGAGGTAACTGCATATATGAAAAATTTAGTCGTTTTTTGCCCACATTGGGACAGGTATTCTTAAAGATATTTAACCATTCCTTAGTGTTGAACTCTTACAGGGTATGTGAATTAGATACCTGTTGCGGAGGGTAGTATATATAGATGAAAGATATTCTGAAGAATAAAGAAAATGAAACTGAATGATTGAATTTTAATGAACTTGATATGTGACATGATCCCTACCAAAAGGTTTGTTAAGGCCCCGTATCGGAGATACGGGTGCCCTATAGTAATCACTCTGTCTGTCTGTCCGTCTACAAATTCTGTTCTTGGTTGATAACTTTGGTATTTATTGACCGATGTTTATGAAACTTGGTCAAGAGGTTATATACATTGAGGTAAAAATTCAAGGTCAAAGGTCAAGGTCATTAGCTTCAACGGTCAAGGTCAAATTTTACATCTTTTCCCTGATGAACATTTTGTTATGATATCAAGAAGCCAAGTTGGTCGGAATTAAAGAATAAGTCAACTGATCAAAGTTCAGGGGCACTATGTTAATGGTCAAGGTCATTTGGCTCCAAAGGTCAAAGACAAAGTGGATCTCTGACTTTGACCCTGGCTCTTGATGTAGGAGGTATCTAAGGTGAAATAAAACAAATCAAAGCTAACAAATTAGTATTGCACCGGTATTTACATTTCTGTTAGCCCAGCAAATATGGAGGTGGAAGGAAACAAGACTCCGATCATAGCACATGTAAAATGTATATTTTGCTTCCTTGCGATTTATTTTGGAAGTCCAAACGTCAAGCTCAGCTATATGGGCAGATTGCTTCTTGATGACTATGGGGGATATATTGCCACAAGACGGGGCCCTTACTGACCTGTCAGTGTTCTAGTTTAAACTCGTTTCTTTTTTCATCTTTTTCAGTCTAACTTGGCAAGACCAACGATTCCATCAGAGTTTGGGGGTAAAGTGCCGATGAACGTCCGTCAACGATATCTCAATCTCATCATCGATGATTGTCTCAAAATTTACGATACTGATAAGGAAGCATTTGATAGGGTTTGTAAAACACATATTATATATCCATTCATGTAACATAGCCGTGTAGTGTCATCGTTTATGCGATGTTGCGTATGAAGTGGTATATATGCTGTGTTTAATTATAATATATTTGGGTTTTAAACGTACAGACATTTCTTTGCCACTTTGAGTGATTACATATAAACAGCAAAGTGTATGATATCTATATATATGATCGTGTAATGTTAACAATAAGATACAGAATTTGTATACCTGCAAATTTATAAAAAAAATATCTCGAAAGAGTTTCACGTAATTGGGTAATTTTCATTGAAATAATACACGAAAGTAATATACAGTTAAACACACTTTAGTGAAAATATGCTCAATTCATTAGCCAGTATTGACCAATCAGAGCGGACCGAGGGAAATAAATGGATACATTTTTTTCAGCATTACAGGGTCTACTCAGGAAGTATTACACCATATATTGATATAAATTGTTATAGGATCTCCCACCTAAGTTTTAATAACCTCATTCTATATTGATATACATTGTTTAATATCTGCATTGTTGCATGTGAAACACAGGAAAGAAGAGCATTAAGTAGCTGTACTCTCTATTGTAGGGCCAGCAGGAGGAGTCTGCGGTCTACAAGAGGGCTTCCAGTAAGACTGTTTACCTCAACATTGCTGTCAACACCATTAAGAGACTTCGTTCCGAGCAGGCTGGCCCATCCAACTCCAAAAAGCCAAAGCAAACTGTATTCACACTGTCACATGAGCAAATTCTCGGGGGCAAAAATGCCACAAAGACTACTTTTACAATCAATCGATCTGGGGGTGGTTCTAAAATACAGGAGGAAAACTTTAAAGGTAAATACTAGTGTTTAGTATATGGTTTTAAGTTAAGAATCATTATGTATAACTTTTGTATAGTACAAGATACTCTCAGAAATTTCATTCATTCAAATAAATCCTTGGTTGTGACCATATAATTTATTATATAATTCGATAATGATTTAATTTTGGCCTTGAAACTAGGAAGTGGAAAATTTTTGAAGTGTAAAAAATCTCATGTTATTCGGATTGAGTAAATAAGTGCGAATGGATCCACACACGAGTGTTTATTCAAAAATTATATAAATTAAAGACATAAAGATTATTATGATGTAGATTCAGAGACACTGCCGACGTGAACATTTCCACATACAAAAAATTCCACTTTAACAGTATAATACCAACATAGCAGTGTTCCAAACTAAATTTTCCCCCAAAAAAACTCAAACGTGAACTGACTTTTAAAAAAAATATTGAAAAAGTTTTCGTTCCTTCCTTTTTAATTATGATATTTGATTATAGTGGATAAGAATTAATTGACTTTGTGAATGTTATGTATCACAGCTGTCATAACATTGTTTTTTTTCTTCTAAGGTGCTGACTTGTACAAGCGCCTAAGCCGATATATTCTGGTAGAGGAACAGATGAAGGAGAATGGTTTTCCTAGACCCTCTCCCACTGAACCAGGCTCAGCAGTGTTCTTTGTGGAACCAAGGAAGAAAATCAATGTACAGTCGTCTAAACCAACAAGTGAGTAGTCTGTCTAATGTTATCTGAGAAAGATATTTTGTGTTGTAATTATTTTAATGTTATATTTGGTTAAACATACATCTTTTCTATATTCAAGGACACTTAAATTTAAACGATTATAAATATGAATAAAATGTATTTCTAAGTGTTGTTATAGAATATTTCAGTGAACAATTTATGTGAACCTGCCCTACCACATGGATTTTCTCCGGGTACTCCAGTTTCCTCCAACATTAAGACCCCCGCGCTAACATCCGGGTCAACAAGAGTGATTGATATAAGTTGAAATAACTTATCACATAATTGTTGTAAAATAAACAAAGTTTATGTTATATTATATATAATTTATGTAAATCTCTTTCTCCAAATTTATTTGAAGCTCACAACTTACATTGTATAGAAGAAAACTTGTTTGATTATATTTAGAATTTTTGATATTAATATCAATTTACAATAAATTTATGCTATAATACACTGGATTGTTTGACATGGATCTCCTGGCCCTGGGCAACATATCTGCAATCGTACATGTATGTATTAAGTTATTTTGTTTTTACAGACTATGAGAAACTCTGTATCCGATGTGGCAAGATGTTCACCGTGTACCCCAACGGAACGTATGCCAAAACGGAGGAGTGTACCTTTCACTGGGGCAAGGCATGGAAAAAACGTGGTAAGTCTTCTTTCCCAGTCTCAGCAGACATGGACTATAGTCTAAAAACATTGACAGGAAATCAATTAGTTAATGAGAAATCAATTTAGATTAACTTTAGGAACGTGGAGATATTCTTTGAAAGCATTTCTTGTTGATAACATATATAGGAATGTGTGATTTGCAGAACTTGTTCAGTGGTCACTGTCACTTATAACTTATGGAAATATATTTCTGTGATTTCAGTTGCTGGTATGATTGACACTAGGTATACGTGTTGTCAAGGTGACCTAACGACAGATGGTTGTCAGATTGCCAAGGTAAGCTTGTAAGCTTATCACTCAGACGTTGAACCAGTTTGAGATCAAACAGAGTGGTCATTGCTGTTCCTAATTGCAATTTCACGAAAATTCCTGAACTCGAGGAAATCCCTTAATTCAAGATTTTCCATTGGAAATCATTGCTAATGTTGAATAAAATTGACCTAACCTAAAGTTTTTTTCAAAGTCTAGCATTTGAAAATTTACTTAAAGGAATTTCTTTAAGTTAAAGGGGGCGAGAGGTGGGGGGGGGGGGGGGGC